AAAGACTATATTGTAACAGAAAACCCTAATGCACCAAGCTGCACTAACCAGATCATTACAAATGATAAATGCAATCCTATTATTATCAATCACAAGTAAAGAAAGGTTGTGATTGATGATAATGGGACTATATTTATAACATCAACAGCAGTTTACACTTGTCTAATTACGATTATTCTCATCTCGTAATGGGAAAGTATACCATTAGCAGATTGCTATTAAATCGTATTTTTTTTCTTTAATAAAATACAGACGTTTTATTCTAGTATTTCTTTCATATCCTACTCCTCCACACTTGAAATGTAAATGAATAACAAGAAAAAAACGATGCCCGGATCATAGTATCCCAACACAAATCCTTCTCAATGTCTGGGGGTTAGTTTGCGATCACAAAGCGTCACGGTTTCCCGGAAGTCCGACCGCCGCTGCGTCACCATTGGAGACCGGGGAACTGACGCGCACGCGAGTGGACGGCTTGCTTGTCAATCGAGGGGACGTACACTCGTCAGGCCTAGCTCGCCAATAAAGCCCTGTTCGGCATTGTTTTGGTTCTTTAACTCCGCCGTATTTCGATAATATATTTAAAAATGCCCATAACGACCGCATTCTTGTAAAAAACAAACAACATGCATATCGGCAGGTTACAAACGGCGAGAAACGCCAGTCTGTCAAGGTAGTAAATGACTCCCTGAAATGAATTCCTTGAACTCTGAAAATAAATAACAGACACAGAAAGGCAGTAAAAATCACCACGCTTTGCAGTAAAGAGAAAACTAAAACGTCAAACGTTGTTTAATAATGATGTCATATGTAGAAAAATAAATTTATTTTGCATTTCTAGGATTAACCGACGCGTAACGGGGTTTCAATTGAGCAGAGTCAGATCTTGTCTTACCTGAAATTTGTTAATAAAATATTCCGGCCACAAAACGAGGTACACGGGACTAATGAGTCCCAGTTTTCCTATTAGGGGTACTATGATTGACCCAGCAAACCAGTATCTGGTGATGAACGGGATACTCTTAAACCAGTCCCCGATATCTGACATTTTCAAGAAAATTATGCATACAACAGTCCGAATGAAGTCCAAATCCAAGCCAAAATATCTCCCACAAAACCCTCTTCGTTGTCCGCGACGCACAGTAATGTCTTTTTGGACTCAACGTTTCGTTTCGCTATCTTCAAGTTTCCCTGACGTGGCTGCTCAGGAGTAGTTTGTCAAAGGGCGACACTTCCTGTGTCTTAATTATACAAGCATGACCGCAAGGGGGCGGTAGGCCCCACCGACCTCCAGCCGAGTCTGACTTCTCCGAACGGGTGGCAAGTCAATCACAGAGGATCTGTCATTAGTTTGCTGACTGTTGTTTTTATCTTTGAATCTTTTTGAAAGGCCGTTTTAATTTTTCTGTTTTCCTGTTTGCAAGGTTACGCGAACAACACGGTGCCGGTTCACCAACCGGGGAGATCACTTGTTGAAATGTTAACAGCCAATACAATGAGTAGTTTTGGAAAAGATTCCTGACAGCTAATCGCCCGCTGATATTAAAAATCAGCATTGGTTGTGAGTTTAATTTAATTTAATACTTCTTTACATATTTGACATTGCCTTCTTAAAAATATTTTTGTCGCATAAATCGGCACTTGTAATCTTATGTTTTAACCGTAATAAGTCAATTATAAAGCACTGAATCATCGCGCTACGGGGGAATGATTCCGTGGTTAGTTAGCAGCTCCTTACTGATCAGACGTGTCCGTTACAATAAGCTGTACAATTTGTCAAACTAAACCCGAAGCAAAATATATTTGAAAGGACATTAAGTCTGTTTTAAAAAAAGTTTATCTCAGGTTTCCCCATGTGTAATATTTGCCACACACTCAGGTTTGTTTTAGGATTTAGGATTTGTTTAATATTAAAAAGCACACATTTACAAAGTATGAATTACCTGCTCGCAACAGCAGGAAATGCTTTTAAACTACAATACCCACCAGCCACCTCTCTCTGTTTACCTGTTCGTCACTTCCTATTGTAATGGCAACCAAACTGGCATTACTTGCAAACTTGCAAACTGCTTTACAGCTTTAACAGACGTTTCGGAAAGTTTTTGTTAACTCGGTTTTAGAAATTATGCAAACTTGTACTTGTGTATAGCCACCAAATATATACATTAGGAATTTATTAATCATTGCACCGCGAATGTATCTAAGAATCGTTTTAAATTTCGCGGTACTGTAACCGCCGGGTTCACAACGGTGAGTACAAGAAGGCGCAGTGGCAATACTCCGTTGGGAGAAAAAACTATAACTGAGTTTTATGTGGTTGTCCTCCAGGTAACAAAATGCAGACGACGGATATAGGCACCAAAGAATGTGGGAAAATCTGGTACCGAAAGCCAACGCCTTCACCAAGTGATGGGTTAGTATCGTTTATCTCAGACAGGAATTTACAGGTGGTCAAATAAACGGATTTATAAAATCCTTCAGGCGTGTGTTTTGCAATGTGATTTATGTATTGTCAGACATATTTTTAGTTCGATAATTCCAGGAGGCTGGATTGCGCAAAGTTTATCATCGCGCTGTAAAGATTTCTAATTGGCATTAGCATTTGCCTGATGATATTGTAGATCAATATTGCGTATGTCCATTTTAATCCTGTTAACTCGCGTGTTCTACAAGAGGAATTAATGCGTATGTATACCCATACAACATGATCTGTTTAAGTAAGACGATTGTTAGCGTAAAGTGCAGTGTGAGTGAACATGAAACAGTTTACTTACGTATATGAAGCAGACAATTGTTTGTATTGGATCATTGCGGAAACGTGTATGCGAATAAAGTATTCGAAATAGTTATGCCAGAGCAGACAACGCCAACAACTCACAAAAAAGTAAAAAGAAGTCTCCACATGCATACTTCCGACTTCAAGACTGTCGGAAAGTGTATACTTTAACTTGATGGATAGTACTTCATGTAGTGACAATTCATTTATTCAGTTTGAGTGTTATCCCGTAGGGAAATGTATTTCTTAACAGTGGTGCCACCGCTTGGTGTGCAGTAATAACTGCACGTCTTTTGCCATTTCTGCGTTCAGTGAGCTATCATTCATTCCAGTGACGTAATATACACTTATTAGGGTGATCTATATAAATGCTCTTTGGGTGCCCGTTATTGTACCATTGTGTGGTGAAAAGTCACGAAGATATCCATGTGTTAAATCAAAGGGTTTGTCATCTATGTGAGATGCAAATGGAACACTAAATTGAACTTGAAGTGCCGAAAGTGCCCAGGGTGAATTCTTTTACAAAGGCATCTCCTGTTGGTCTGAGTGAAAGGCCTCTAGCACAGATGACACCCTACCGAGATAAACGAGTATGTATATTAGTGATCTTCAGATTCAGATTCTAATCTGTTTAAATGTGTTTGAGTCTTCATTGATCAATTCAATCCATGCTGTAACGGGACAAGGGAAGGGTGTGTGTTTAAAAAAAAGACTGCAAAGAGCTGATTTTTTGTATTAGCTTCATGAGGCCTCTGTACGAGTGTAGACAATGTCTGGGCTCATTTGTTGACGATATAGTAGCGCCTTAAAATGGGTAATAAGAGATCCTAATTTTCCTTTACAGGGTCCTTATCAGAGTGGTTCGCAGTGCAGCAGGATACCATTCCAAGACTGTTCGTTTTCTGCAGGCTGCCTTCGACACAACAGGGGAAGCGTTTTTAGCGGGAGACCACCATGGAAATACCTATGTCTTTGATATCAGCAGAAACAGGTACATTATCATGACGTATCTGTGATGTGTGAGATACCTAAAGGATTGGGCTGTTCACAGCTACCTGACCTCAGGCTTTTTAATTGGAGCTCCTGGCATCAGGACTCTTTTAGTTTTTCATGCTGTTTCTCAGTCGTGTCTGATTTGAACCACTCTGGAGTACCTGTAAATTTAAAAAGATCTTTGTAAGGGGCCATTACAGTGCAATGTGATGACCATCATCAGATGTGATAGAATGATGGTTGCTCATAAAAGTTGCCTGTATGCTAGCTAACCCAGGCAGCACTGCCCAGCGCCCTGAGTGCCAATAGGATACAGTCGGGAGCAGCTGCCTGGGCTCTCTCTGCCTTCAGCTGTGAGGACTGCCATGTGCTTGCAGATTTGTCACGAAAATCATCAAGAAACAAGCACTCATCCAGTTGGCATTAACCTGGATAGAGGCATTTGATAAAGGAATAAATAACTAGAATATCACAACCTTTTTGAAGAGTTCCAAGCAACTCCATACCCTGTTGCTTTGATAATGTCAGTGAACTCTTTAAGGAAAATAAGTGGAAGCTATAATGATACCTAGCAAGTTGGGAAGTCACTGGACAAACAGTTTTAGAAGGAGAATTTTGGTGAGCAGGTGATGGCCTGTTTTGGAAAATGTGAATTGTGTTGTCACTAGATGTTTACCTGCCAAGTTGAGAATTGACTGGCGAAAACATTTCATGCTCAGGAGCATTTTGCATTGCAGGATGCTATTGCTAACGGAGCAAAGGTTCAGGCGGCCTTCCTGGTTTATACAGAAGTCTTGGTCTGCCGTATCGTGATTGCATTGTCAATATAATGGAAAAGATAGAGGTTAAATTCACTCTAAAAAAGGAGAAAAAAGAAACGCAATATTTCAGGTGTTGAGTGTTCTTCAGGTGTACAACCTTCTCCTCTCTCTCCTTCCTCTCAAAAGCCAAAACATTGTTTCTTCTTTTCAATAAAGAATTAACCTTTACTTTCACCAATGTATGCTGACACAGCTCCCCACTCGAACTTTGTCACTATAATGATATCTGCCCAGTTTAGAGTTAAATGTGCAAATAGTTCTTGAAGCAGAGCAGCTAGTGTTACAGGCGATGACCTGGTGTGGGCATTTAAAGTCACTGAAGCCTGTAAGACATTTGTGAAGCAAGAGGTGCTTGAAAACCTGGATATGATTAAACCTTTTTAAAGTTACAGAGGAACAGTAGGTTGCTGAGTACATGGGTTAGGCCATCAAGTTCTTATCCCCTTCATAACCATTGATTTCTTTATTTTTTGCAAATTTCTTTGCGTTGTAAAATTTCATTCCGGCATTTCCTGTGCCAGCAAGTAAATCAGATTTCTAATTATTATTTTTTATCCTTGATGTGTTTCCTAGCTGTGTTCTGCAGTCACACTTCTGGTGGTCTCTCGTCCTGTCCTAGGTTCAGGCTTGTTCAGAAGACTGGGCAGGCTTGTACTGCTTTGGCCTTTAACCTACGCCGAAAGACAGAGTACTTGGTGGCTTTGGCCGACTACTCCATCAAGTGCTTTGATACAGGTACACACGTCCATGGCACTAAGCTGAGAATTCCCTGCGCTATTAGGTAATTGGCTAGTTATAAGATCAGAGAACTGCTTTGTCACAGTTTCAGTATCCAGGTTTTTTGCTTTCCAGATTGCTAACCGCAGACTAAAATGTTGAAGGATCATATTTTTGGTGCACTGATTTAGGGTATGTAGACTTACATAGTCCCATTCATAACAAAGAGAAGGTTCTTTATATTTCCTATGTTGTGTCCCAGGCACTGCATTGACAAAGTGCTTTCCTACAGCTTGTAAACTCCCTGTAAGTTCAGACTGTGTTTTTGCCTTCGTCAGACTCCAAGGAGCTGGTGAGCTGGATGAGAGGTCACGAGTCTGCTGTCTCTTCAGTGTCTGTTCATGGCTCGGGGAGGTATGCCATCACTACCTCTGCAGACACAGCTCAGCTCTGGGACCTGGACACATTCCAGAGGAAGAGGAAACTTAACGTCCGGCAGTCTGTGGGAATACAGAAGGTCAGTGCACTGGGATTTCAACTTTGTTGACAGCAGCAGGGACGTCTCATGTACGAGTGTTTTGTCCGATTTCAATTTCAAAGACAAAGCAAGGTCATCTGTCCATTAAAGGAGAAGACCAGCATGTAGGAAAATTAGTACACGGCTGAAAAGACTAAACGGGAGACACAAGCACACCATGATATGCAAAACGCACAGCCTGAAGTGAGAGAAATAGCTTTTAATTTTTTATTTTGTATGAATGGCTTTGACCAAAATTGTTCGCATCTATAAGTCTCTCTAAGTGTAAATGGGATTTTTTTTAGTGTATCGTGGTTTTAGTGCAAGAATTCAAGTTAAAAGGTAGTAACACTAAAAAGGAACTGAAGTCCACTTGGCAACATGAAGTAGAAAACAGATGCAGCAAATGAATCTAATTGGTGAGAGAGATTTTTTTCCATTGTAGAAAATTCTGTACATAATAGGAAGTTGCTCTCTTACCAACATTATCAAGTGTCCTGTGGTTAAAAGTGGATGTCTGTTTTTTGCCAGGTGTTCTTTTTGCCTCTGAGTAACACCATCCTAAGCTGTTTTAAAGATGACTCCATCTTTGCTTGGGAAAGTGACACTCTGTACTGTAAATATCAGCTGCCAGTGCCAGAGGAGGGACCCAGGTTGCATTATAAGGCATTTGCCGTCACAAGGTGAGTTATAATTCAGTGCTGGAGCCCATATACTTTTAATACACATATTCTGCTCTGCACTGTTTCAAAGTGCTTTCCTACTGCTTGTTTCGTGTACAATGTGAATGTATACAGTGCATAAAAAGAATCGCAGCCAGCGGCCATATCACCCTGCGACTAACAACTGGCAACCCACTCACGCTCAGCAGTGTGAGCCTGGTCAGTACCAGAATGGGAGACCTCCTGGGAAAAACTAAGGTTGTTGCTGGAAGAGATGTTAGCGGGGCCAGTAGGGGGCACTCACCCTGCCATTTGTGTGGGTCCTTCTGCCCCAGTATAGTGACAGGGACAGAATACTGTAAAAAGGCACCGCTTTTCGGATGAGATCTAAAACCGAGGTCCTGATTCTCTGTGGACATTAAAAATCCCAGGGCGTTTTTGTTGAAAAGAGTAGGGGTGTTACTCCAGCGTCCTGGCCAAATTTCACATTGGCCTTTACCAACCATGGCCTCCTGATAATCCCCATCTATGAACTGGCTTCATCACTCTGTTCTCCTCCCCACTGATAGCTGATGTGTGGGGAGCTGGTGCACTATGGCTGCCAGTACCAGGTGGGGCTGCACACTGGTGGTGGAGGAGAGTCCCCATTACCTGTAAAGCACTTTGAGTGGAGTGTCCAGAAAAGCGCTATATAAGTGTAAGGAATTAATAATAATAATAATATTAAAACCTTGATTTGTCACTAAAGAGATACTTGGCGAGTCCAGCATACCAATGGCATGAAGGCACTGTTCTCTTTATAACCTGGCATATTGATTCCTTTATGTGTTTTTTGTCCTAGATTTTCAACAGGCTTGACATTCTGCCACCACACTTTCTATTTTGCACATCTGGACTGAGAAAGGATGGTTTTCGTTACTCACTGGTTTTGAATTTTGGCTCTTCAGGGATGGTCGCACACTGGTGGCTGGTGGGAAGTCCAACCTGCTTCACTTGTGGTGCTTAGAGAACAGGCAGCTTCTGAGAATCATTCAGATGCCACCGAAAGTGAGAACTGTGCGGCACCTGGAGTTTTTACCCGACAGCTTTGATGGGGGATCAAGTCAAGTACGTAAAGCGATATACTTTTATTGAATTATTATAGTAAACCGAACATCTTGTGTGAGATGAACTCGTGTGAAATGGCTCAGGAACACCCCTGGGTGTAGATCTTCTCATACGCAATTGGAGATGCTTCTGGGGAGCTTTACAGTTTGCAAAATTGTCTATCTCTTGGAGGTCAAGCGATAAACTGATACGACTTGTCTTGTCGTATCAGGATGAGCCTGTTGTGGGAAATTCTTCATCAGAGGAGCAGGGCACAGTCAGTTTTATTAAGCTCAATAAGTCCAGCAACGCGTGCTGGGTCTGCCCCACAGACAAACTGCAAGGGTTTCCCAGCTCTTATATACAGTCAGAAAGAAGTTTGTTTCACAGTCTGAGTGCTTGTCCTGTTCTTTGTTATGTAATTACTTCTTGTCCTGCTCTGTCTTGCTTTAGGTTCTGCCCTTTGATATGCAGCAGACATTGATCTGCTTTAACCTGTTTATGGTGTGTTCGTGGGTGTTGTTCCTGTCTTTTATTATGTAACGTTAAGTCGCTGGGGCTGCTAAAGCAAGTCAGCTTTATGGCATCTTAGTGTGACTTTTGTTTAAGGCTAAATTAACACACCTCAAGTGGTGATATTGCGATGCTGGATAAGTGAGATATATACATGTCCCAATTCAAGCCTATCAGGGTTACATAGAATAGGGCAGATGGACATTGATATTGAACTTCAGGACTCAATGGTTGTAAAGAGTTTGTGGCCCAATATTGAGATTGATTCTATCTTGCTATTCTTTGATAAACAATATGCATGTTTTTCAAGTTGCGATTCAATGCAAAACTCAAGGTAAGGGGAAAAACAGTACTCTCAGCTTAGTAAGTACAAGAAATGTGTTCAGTAATTTGTTTAATTTTATGCAGCAGTGGAGTATGATAATCAAGACAAGAGCAAAAATTAGTATATGTAGGACCTATTAAATATGTACAAGAAGATTGTATGTCCTGAAATTGTTTGAATCTGTTCCTCAAAAAATATCAGAAAAAAAATCCACTTTTTTAAGACAACTCATGCCTGTGCTTTCAAACATCACTGTCCTGAACTCCTCAGTCCTGTAAATTTGATCACATTTTTTGCCATATGGATTAGTCTTCAAAAGGCCCCTATTCTTCTTCAATTAACTAATAATTGACAGAGTGTAGCTTCAGTCATTGTGCATTTTGATGATGATATTGTCCTGCTATGAAGAAAATACATCAGCAAAGACTAATACGTAACGCTACATTACAACTAGAATTATTGTGCCTTTACAAAATATTGTATAATTGTGTTCATGACATGGTTCATAAATGGTTAGTGAACACCTAGAAAATCCTTGATTAACCAAGAACAGACAGAATTGCACGTTTGAAGGCTGGAGGGCTGAATTGTTTAAAATGATCTCCAAGCTTGCTTAATGAATTCAGGGTCATTAAGACCTTCAAGTGGTACAAACTGCAGATAACGTAAAGATGCAGACAAAAAAAAAGTGCGGGCTTAGATTGAGAAAAAAAATATTTCTGGTGGTTTTTATTTCCCTACCTTTCAGATCCTGGGAGTTCTGAGTCAGGACGGAATAATGCGGTTTATAAACGTTCAGACGTGCAAGCTGACCTTTGACATTGGCAGTCATGACGATGGCATCAGCTCAGCAGCTATTAGCCCAAATGGGCACCACATCGTGGCAGTGATGGAGAATGGGAGCCTGAACATATATAGTGTTGAGTCTCTGACCCAGGATATTAACAAGGTAACGTAACCTGTAACACAAATAATTGGTAGAAGCACCCTTTTTATTACAGGCAAGTGGAAGAAAACGATGAAAAATACCCTATCTCAATTCTTTATAACCTTTTTACTAAACTGTTAACTCACTATTTGGTAAGCTGCAATGCGATGCATGATAGATGATTGATTTTTCTGGGAAGCTATGTAAATACTAGATAGATTTTACTCTTTTGTTGTTTAAGAATTAGATATTCTTTATGTATTATCAACAGGAACTTTAAGTTCACCTGCTGGTAAGCCTCAGTGTATCTAGATCTCTAATCCAAGATACTATGGCTCTTAGTTGAAAATACAGAGCTGTTTCCGGCTACTTTTAAAAGCAGTTTTCAGAATTTGTTGCAATTTCTTAACTATACCCAAACTTTAGCAAGACTGAGTAGGCAACTTGGGATTCAGAAAAGTCTTGGTACTGCTCTGTGCTAAGTTGTTTACAGAAAATACAGGTGGTATAAAAATAGACCTGTAATCAGACATGAGTCATGTTTGAAAATGGTTGACTTGTGTTGGACTAGACGCGTGTTCTTAAAGAGGCCCTTGTGCTTTTCCAGTGAAGCACAGAATATTGGAAAATTAAAATTGGAGAGGGGATGTCCAGAAATCTTTTACAACATACCACTTCTGCCTTCCCAAACCTTGAATAATTTTGATTTATTAGATTTCTTTATAAGGATCTGACTGAAAAAATGCAACCATCAGAACTGGCATGTGGTGGTAGTTAATTTATTATTGAGCTGCTTATAAGAAAAGTGTGTAACTCATATCTTGGACCTGTAAATGCTATTAAGTGTGTCTAGGTTATTCTAATTGGATTTATTGACTATTTTAAAACTTTGAGGTAGATTGTATGGAATACAATGCAAGGTCCCTTGAAGGCTTTTCATACTTTGGTTATGATTTTTTGGTTTACCTGCCTTATGAAACAAGAAAACAGTAGGAGACTAAATGTATTGGGTTATTTTATTGTTAAACAGAGATAATCATGTGGGGAGCCCTTACATACTGTAAATACACAGAGTATCAAAACATACTGTACGCATGTAAGCAGGTGGAGCCTGTGTTGTGTTGATTTCTATTTGAAACGTAGGTGGAGTCTCCTTCACTCTGTGTATGTTAAAATCAGTTTATATTTGGCACAGAGTAGTACCTGACCAGTTTTAATTCTAAAGACTTGCTGCTTACAGGAAGTCGTGCAATGTGAACGCGTCTAAATTAAAACATTTTCACAAGGTTAATACTGTTCTTAAAGACGATATCTAATCGTCAGTGAATTTAATTTTTTTATCCCCTCTCATCTTTACCCAAAACTGCAGGTATAACCTACAAACCTCCTTACTACCTTTAGGCAAAGAAGTGCTGCATTGTGGGATCAGAAGCTGATTCCTTTTTTCTTTTGCAAAAAATGACAAAGAATTACACTGATGAGCGTTTTTTCTTTATCAGCTCTGTGTGCTTCTGTTTGTACGTTTGTCTAGCCTCCTCCTCCTCTAGTGAAGGTGATTTCGGGTTTTGAAAGAGGCAGCGGCGTCTCCAAAGATGCAGGCCTGAGAATGCAGGTGAAGTCTGAGCACGTGCAGAGGCCTGTCAGATCAGCAGGGGGAAAGACCCAGACTAGAGTGCTAAGGCCCCCAGCCGACCCTACACCCGAGGATAAAGAGGTAGGATCAGTTTAGAGAAGTCAAGCAGCTCTGAACCACACGCACACATTGGGTCCTGTACCTCTGCTCTGTGAAGGGATTCCATTTCATTCCTCACCGTATTAATAATAATAATAATAATAATTGCTTACACTTATATAGCGCTTTTCTGGACAATCCACTCAAAGCGCTTTACAGGTAATGGGGACTCCCCTCCACCACCACCAGTGTGCAGCCCCACCTGGATGGTGGATGAAAGTTTATTATGAAAGTTCCAAATCTTTTTTTGGTTAATACCTCTTAAATTCCACACTACTTTAGATGTCAGTCAGAAATGTTATCCGTAATGTCATATGCACTTTTTTGACCACGTGTGCAGATAAATCCTTTTTTTTATTGCTAATATTCTCAATGCAAGGGAATAATGCAGGAGGTAATATTTCTGTTATTCAATATCTCTGTCATAAGCACTGCTGCTTTGTTTATAAAGTACTTGAATACAATCTTCCTTCTCATTGTTGTGGCCATATTTCTGTTTTAAAACAATGAAGGCCCATTTATTTTGTTCAGTTCACTGTTTTTCATTACCAGTTCACTGCTCCTAACACTAATTACGTACAGTATCCTGAGGTGATAAGTATTTGCAGTTTAGTTTGCTTGGGTAAAGCTGAATGAACAGTTGAATTATGAATCTATTCCAGAATGAATTACCCGATGGACTGAGCAGGAAGAGACTACAGGCTTTGCTGAAAGAATTTGGGGAATATCCAGCAAAATACAGGTACTAAACCATTGTTTTCAGATGTTGGTTTTGAGCAGATTTCATTGATGAAAGTCTTAAATAAATGATTGGTGAAAAATGTCTGATTTTCTTCTTATTAATATTTGTTCTTTCCTGCTCACTGAGGTACATGGCACTTTTAACTGCCATTAAACAATATTCTAATCAATGTTACTCAATTTCAGAAATTTGAGTGACATCTCACTTGAAATCAGACCACCATCTGTGATGTCATGCTATAAGAAAATCAATAAACGATTTCAAGTTTACTTTCATATATGCAGTCGATATTTCCTTAAGAGTACAAAGGTTGAATACGACTCTGCCATTCTTCGTTGTAAAGAGCCGTTTGGGTGTCTTGAGCTTTGCTTGAGTGGCTTCCCAGGAAAACACTGCAGTAAAGGCCGGTGTCCGTGTGCTTGTCTGCACAGGATGTTTATCTGGCGCTCCCTGCTCCGCTTGCCTGAGAACCACGCGGCCTTCAGCAGCCTGGCAGCGAAAGGGCCACATTCCGCCTTCCTGCGGCTTCATGAGCACTATCCCATCAAGAGCCAGAAGCTACAGCGTGTTCTCCAGAGGTATGGCACTGCCTGGGCTGTCCTTTCATTCCTTTCTCACCTTCTGTTCACTCTGGTGGAGAGCTCAGGGTATTCTCTACTGTCACGGGTTTCTCTCTCTCTCTCTCTCTCCCTGTCAGCTCTGCACTGGGTGAAGTTCTCTCATGCTGCCCAGGTGTTTACGAATGTTGCCCTGTCCTTTCAGATCCCTATATTCCCTCTGTAATCCCTGTAGTCCATCTGATGATCCCTTCTCCCTCTCTCTTTGGATTTCACTCTGGCTTTGTAGTGGAGAAAGCAGCCCTCTCCTGGAGTCCATATCTTACAGGAAACCCCTTTCATTCCTCTGACCAGAAACTAGCCTGGCTTGATTCGGTACTCTATCTTCCCATACTTTCTCAAGCCATCGCCTTGCTGATGCTCCCCAGGGATGCTAAGCCACCGTGAGCAACAGTTTTCAGGAGGACTAAAGCAAAGCTTTCTCCCAGTCCACTGGTGTTCTGCCTCTGTCTCTGCTCTCGGGGTTGACAGAGGTGTGCGGAGCTAGTCCCGCTGCCTCTCACCAGGACCGATCCAGAGGAACTGCACTTTCTCTCTGGCCCTCCACAACAAGCAACCTGACAGAGCACAAATCTATCACCTGTGTTCCAATTTGGCCAGAGAATTATAGTAAAAAGTCTGGTTTAAAGTCCAACACAGGCTATAGCTTTTCTTGTGCCCCCGACAAGCGAGCAGTCCGTCTGACGAATTGCTAGAATGCTAGTTGTTTTCCTGGAGACAGTTCTCCTTGTCTTACTGTGTCTTAAGTGTAGCCTGAACTCACCCTCTATACTCTTAGAACTGAGGGATGAGCATGACTGTGATTCATCTTTGAACGGCAAGATAAATCTCTCATTGGATGGACAGGACACCCCCAGCTGACTATGTTTGATGTTTGCCAGTATACAATATACTGTATTGCAGCCAGCACTCAGTTGGAGAAATCTTTGAGACGACTGAGGCAGTTCATCCTGACTCTTGACTCCTGGTTTTCTCTCTTTCTCTCTGCAGGGTGTTGTCAGCTCTCGCGCACTGGTCCGCCATCTTTGGCGAGACGCAGTATCTGCCACTGGTGGCGTTCCCGTTTGTTAAACTGTTCCAGAACAACCAGCTTATCTGTTTTGAAGTGATTGCTACTGTTATAAGTAAGTGTGTTTTGTGAGGTAATCCATCATAAGACAAACAGTACTTTCTTACTCTGTCTTGGATGGCAGTAGTTTCTTTGGAGGCCTTTGGCCTCAGATTTTGGATGGTCCAAAAAATCGTAATGTGGAAAGTGTGGAAAAGCTCATACCATGATTTTATTGCTGACATTGTAAGCATTTTCATTTGATTTCTCTGGGTCTACAGGGAAAATTCATATCATTATGGTAAACCTTCTGTTTAAGTGACTTCAGATTTAACAGACTTTTAATGGAAATTTTGTTTGGAAATCAGTAACTTTTCACCTTTCCTGAAATAACAAAACAAAGCAAAAATAAATACAACATAGGTTTAATACACTGTAATGATTTGAAATTAGCCATTTTGGCAAGCACTCATGAATATGCGAGGGGGTAGGCAAACTTTAAAAATCTTTTGGGGTTCAGCACTGAGAAAAAGCTTAAATTAGGAGGACACAATGGGCACAACGATGGTGCTGTCCTGAGTTTTGTTGACTGTTTTTTTTTTCTTTTTCTTTCTAGTGAATTGGTGCCAGCACTGGTTCGAGTACTTCCCCAACCCCCCGCTCAACGTGCTGTGCATGGTGGAGAACGTCCTGGCCCAGCACGACAAGGAGCTGCTCCAGCACCTGGTCAACTGTGGAGTAACGTCACAGGTGAGCCCCCTTAATCCCCCCCGGGTCTGCTTCTGATCCCCCCCACTGTCTCTCACAACAGGACATTTATCAGACAGACGAGGTCTTTACATGATTCTAAAATCATTAAAATTGTAAACAGACTCACATTCACCGGAGACCTTTTCTCGCATTGCAGAATGGGCCTTGCTGTCTCTTAACCCGAGTTATTCCACTGGGGGGGACAATAGCCTGTGCCGTCCCAGCTGGGTGCACAATTTACTGTGCATCAGCGACATGGATCGGGATGTTCTTCTCGCCTGACGTCCGAACTGAATACCTGCGGGCATGACTCCTGTGCACAGCTAGCGCTTTGTCCTGTTTGTCACACCAAAGCCCTTTATATTTGAGTTCACAATGCTGAAAGCACATACTGTACCATACACCCGCCTGGCAGTGCACACCCCCAAACTGTCCCAGCATGCATGCAACGCTTTGTCTTTTCCCAGCCTGCTCCCTTCAGGCATGGTTAGTTCACACGGCAGATTTCACGCCCATGCAAGAGCACACAGAATCCATCCGTCCAACCACTCTCGGAACGCTTCACGCAGTTCAGGGTGGCAGTGGAACTGAATCCTGTAATAAAAACAAGTTGCATTGCAAGAGAGAGCAAACGATGTCTTTTGTATTGTCTGTTTGCTCTTCTGAAGTGTAAAATCCCCCTATTCTTATAGATGAACCCTCTCTCTTGATGCACTCTGTTGCAGCTATATGCCTGGCCGCTCCTGGAGACCCTGTTTTCTGAGGTGCTGACGCGAGAGGAATGGCTGCAGTTGTTTGACAATGTCTTTTCCAATCACCCCTCCTTCCTGCTCCTGGCCGTGGTGGCCTATATCACCTGCTGCAGGTCTCCCCTGCTGCACTGCACGCTGACAGAGGACTTTGAGGTAGGAAAAGTGCTCCAGGGTCACTTAAGCCATCTGAGAGGAGACAGTCACACTCTAATGACATAGCATATATACCATGCATTGTATTTATGTGTAATTCTACTTTTTGGGAAGTGTAGCATATTTTAGTTTACAGTTTGTGGTTATTAAAATGCACACCTAGTTTTATGTTCATCTTTTAAAGTGAAGGTTAGCAGTTGTTATTAGTGTGGATCTGATGTGTCTTTTTTCAGTTTTGTACCGTTTTGTTCACAATGTATCACTTTTATATGCATGATATTGATATCAAAAGTGCCATTTGTTTGTGATATTGAGGGATTTTTAAGTTGGGTTCTTGTTCTTAGATGAAAGGGCCTTGAAAGAGTTTGGTCAGCCCTGGGTGTGGGAAGACCTCATCTGAAGAGAAGCATTGGATTAATCTGTATAGGATGTAGTTACATCTGTCCTTATGAATTTATTATACTCTTTGGTTGAATAAAAACAGCTTGGTTTCAGTGTTGATTTATAATGTTGATACGAAAGACCGAAAGAACTATGGTCTCTTCCTCAGTCATTGTTGGAACCAGCAGCTAAGTGGACACGGCTGTGAACCCTCTACTGTTGTGTTTTACAGCAGCAATAATAATTCCTTACACTTCTATACAGTAGCAGTTTGCAGGACACTCCACTTAAAGCGCTTTTTGGGTTATGGGGACTCCCCTCCACAACCACAACCACAACCACCAAGGTGTATCCCCACGTGGATGATGCAACAGCAGCCAAACTGTGCTAATATGCTCACCACATATCAGCTATCAGTTGCGAGGAGAAGAGAGATAGGGATTATTAGGTGGCCATGACTGTTAAAGGCCAGGGGGGAAATTTGGCCTTGATAACAGGGTAACACCCCTACTCTTTTCAAGAAATGCCCTGGGATTTTAAATGACCAGTGGGAGTCAAAAGCTGTTTTATGTATCATCTGAAAGGCGACGCCTTTTTACAGTATATTGTCCATTTCACTTTACTAGGGCATTAGGACCCACATAGACCTTGGGATGAGCGCCCCCTACTGGTCCCATCTGACCAGACTTCAGTGGGCTTCCAGGTGTGAGTTGCAGGACGATATACAATAGCTGCTGGCTGCATCAATGGCACTGGCATTGTTGTACTCACTCATGCAAGCTGCAGTCCGGATCTTCTCCTCTTTTTAGTATTTCTTCCACCACCGCAACAACTTGGACATCAGCGCCATGATCAAGGAGACGTACCGACTGATGGACAGCACGCCGGCTGAGCTCCACCCCCGACATATGCTGTGCGACTTTGAGGCCTTAACCAAGGGGCAGTACCCAGTCTTCAACAAGTACCCCACCTTCATTGTGGAGTATCAGTCTCAAGAGCGTGAACGGATCAGGCAGCAGGAGATGGAGTATTTAAGGGAGAGGTAAAAAAGACACATCCTCATTGAAATAACTCAGCCTGAGATTCTCTCCTTCATGAGGAATTGTTGCGCCACTTTGTAAATGTAAATTTAGCTTTATGGTAATAACAATACAGAAAGTAGCAGCCATATCACTCTGCAAATCACAGCTGGCAGCCCACTGAAGCTCAGCAGGTGTGAGCCTGGTCAGTACCTGGATGGGAGACCTCCTGGGAAAAGGTTGCCTGCTGGAAGAGGTATTAGTGGGACCGGCAGGGAGCGCTCACTCTGCAGTCCATGTGGGTCCTAATTCTCCAGTATAGTGACGGGGACACTATACTGTAACCGAGGTCCTGACTCTCTGTTGACATTAAAAATCCCAGGGCGTTTTTTCGAAAAGAGTAGGGGTTTAACCCTGGCCAAATTTCCCATTGGCCCTTACCAATCATGGCCTCCTAATAATCCCCATCTATGAATTGGCTTCATCACTCTGCTCTCCTCCCCACTGATAGCTGGTGTGTGGTGAGTGTTCTGGTGCACTATGGCTGCCGTCGCATCATCCAGGTGGGTGCTGCACATTGGTGGTGGTGGAGGGGAGTCCCCATTACCTGTAAAGCGCTTTGAGTGGAGTGTGCAGAAAAGCGCTATATAAGTGTAAGCTATTATTATTATTATTATTATTATTATTATTATTATTATTATTATTATTTTAAGTACTTAACACTTGCAAGTGAATTTACGAAAAGGTAATGTAAGTACATTGCACTTTTTAATATAAGTACAATGTGTACAGAATTTTTAAATTCCCACCATTTTTGTTTCTGTACCACATTGTGCATGGCACTTAACAACTGTCCTTTGAAACAGCTTTCCTACCCATTTATGTTCAATTGTAAAATGCTTAGACTGTGAGTTCTAGAGTTTTCTCTAGAGTCCAGAGTCATGACCACATGCAGCATCGTAGTATGTTATTTATTGCTCTAAGTCATGTAAAAAAATCCCAGTAATGTATTTGGCCCTTTCTTCTTTCTTTTCTGGAGAAGAAAGAAGATCTACTGTACAACAGATTGAATTATCTACTACATATTGAATTTCCTTGTGCGTTTTTAAAACACTATATTAAAATTGAGTTATTAAACAGGTAAGCAGAGTTGACATAAGGACAGTTCAAACCCATAAATTCATGGCCCAGAACTGTAAGCAAGCCCTATATCATTTTTACATGCCCCAGAGGTACTGAGCAAAATGCTTTTCAAACTATCATATAGCCCCATTGAACACGGCTTTGGAATGTTACGTTAGCAGAAGAGCTTGAGACGATATCAGGTATCCCCGATGATGTTGAAGAAGTCGGTGACCCGTTCAGGGCCGAGGCAGAGCTGGTATGAGCTGGCTGTGCGCTGTGCCCCAGACAGATGGCGCAGGAGCTGCGCTCGGAGGCAGTGAGGCGCCAGGCCGAGGACGAGGCCTGGCACCGACAGCAGGAGCTGCTGCAGGAGGCTGAGGAGCACAGGAGGAGGATGTTGCTGGAGGAGGAGAGCAAGCTGGCGGAACAGCGAGCCAGGTAGGTGGTCCCCCTGCAAGTGGGGGCGGGACTTCATGTTGTCCATATTGATTGAGGAAGCCAAGACCGTTTCGCATTTGCAGGAACACTTTAGCTTCAAGCTGTTTAATATGCTGCTCCTGTGTCTTGCATGTATAGCCTTGAGCTGTACAGTTGATTCACCTTTGTAACGCCAAAAGAGAAAAGCTACTAAATGCCCATTTTCCTGCTCCAAGAAGGTTAAGTACCAGCTACAATTTGCATAGTCGTGTGAGACCATATGTGATATTCATATATTAATATTCATGTAATATTCACACCATCCTGTAAATTGAAATCATTTCTGTAAATTCAAAGTCAAAACATAATTTTGCAAGCTATTTTGGAAGCAGAATAGTAATCTGAGTAGCAACAACAATTTAGAATGAAATTCAACAACTCAGAACAGATAGTATAGTTTTTCAGTAGGTAGTTTAGATCTCATTCTTTTTGTGTTATTTTTTCCACCTCTCCTGTTTTGTTCATAACTGTTTTTCCCTAAAACTGTCCAGACAAATAAAAATAATTCTTAAAACTAAAATCAGGTTTTATGAATTTTCTCTTTTTTTAGGATCTATATGTAAATATTATGATGATTATTTAGGGAAAGACTAGTAAAATCAAGTTAAATTAAGGCTTCATGTTTCTGGCTAAATATTTTTAAAATTAAGTTGTACTAATCTCTTGAAATCTCTTACAATTGGAGGTATTCTTTCAGTCTTTTCCAATAAATATTAAAGTCCTTCTGTGTTTTATTTAGGTATCTGATCATTTAAAGAAGTATAAAACTAAGGATAGATAAATTTGAGAGTTTCTGTGTAATGCTTTGTATGATTGCATTTAAAAGTTAAAAATTGCCCATCTGAATTCCCCCTAAAGGAAGTCTGTTGCTGTTTTTTGAATAAACCCTTTCCCAGGTTGGTTGCTATGAAACGGGAGCTGAAAACGAAGGAACTCCACCTTATTGATGCGGCACGGAGGCGCTTCATCAAGTACCAGCAAGACCAGAAGAAAATGGAGCTCAGGAGGCTTGACGATGAGATCAACAGAAAGGTCTGCTTCTATCCCTTTTACTAGAAATGACTCTTAATACGAATACCTAGGATTCACAGAGTATTCATTCCTTTATGGTTTTTGTGGTTAAATTGGGAAATGAACTTGACACAAGACCAGATGTCTTTTTTCCCCCTTTAGGCTTCAATGCGAGAGCAAGAAACGGCAACAGTGCTGCAAGATATCGAGGTTCGACAAATGGAACTGGAGGCTCAGAGAAGGCTGTTTGAACAGGTAGCTTCTTCTTTTGGACCCTTTGTGCAGAGTCTTTTTTTGAAAGTAGATGTCTAATATGATGTTCCTTTAGAGAACGTGTGCCAGGCATTTTGTATCACTGATGTTGCTTAGTGTTTATACTTGACAAGAGCAAAAGACTTGTAAATACCCCCTACACATTACATTATTATTATTTTTTGGGTTGGTTTAGACTTCTGTGCTGTGGAGAGAAAGCATACATTTGTATTGCTAACAGAAACAAAGAACTACAGCAATATGAAATTCTAAAGCCTTTTCTCAAAGCTTTTCTTTTCATAATCGAACAGTGAGATAACTGAAATAATACCGGAGAGGTTTTTGGAAAAAGAAAAACTCTCTTCGTTTTTATTTTTGCTTTATATGCACGCCAGCTACAACTTTGGGAATGAATGAGATGCTTTGGTTCTGAGTTCTTAGCTCTTCTGCCTCATTTTCAGTCCACTGGCAGAAATGGGAGTGCTGGTTTCGAATCTGCCGTTCTAGAGAGATTTTCATTTTTACTGGCCTGTGTTCTCAGCAACTGGCTAAAGAACAGGAAAGAGTGAACCAGGAGGTGAAAGGTGAAGTGGATACCCATCGGCGAAAGGCAGAAGCAGAAGACCATGCATTTCAGAAACTGGTAGACGCAGAGAAAGATCAAGACTTGGAAACCAAAAGGGTGAGTTTTACACACCATGTAACCCAGTGATGGAATCCAAAGTTTCAGAACATTGAGAAAATTCAAGAAAGAAATGCATGAAATGGTTTGATTAAATGATTGGCTCGAAAGGGATATATCTGTGTATAAATGTCCTGTATATCAGGGCTGAATTGCATTGTTTATAAAAATCAGGAGAGAAAAGTTGCTCTTAGCCTTTGGTGCCGAGTCAAGGCATGTTTGGCTCAAGTTCAGCTTCTGCTACGGCTTTATGCAAGAATGAACTTGAGATATTTGGAATTCCAAAAGTGCTATTTAAACATAACATCTTCAGTATATTTTAAAAAAACGAACGTCTGGCATAAAGAAAGAAATCGAACATTCATCTAAGTTATTTGCTGCTTTCTTAATATAAGATCATCATAAAGCAGGATTTACATTTTCTGCTCTGTACTAGAAAACTGAAAAACACTTGAAATTATATGTTGGCAAATGCCAACAAAGAAAACATTTAATAGAATCGATTAGGTGCTTTATTAGAAAAAAACTGAAACGCTGAAATTCGATCACAATATTCTTATTTCTAAAGCTGCTCATATTGAGCAAATTCCACAGAGGTAGTGCATTACCCACGTGCCTCTCGTGCAGCAATATTTTGAAACCAAAAATGATCTAAAGGCACTGTTAAATGACCCTGAGAATAAAGATGAGACCTTTAGAGTTTCCGAGTGCCCTTATATAATGTTTTTGTCCCAATGCTCATTACACGTGAAGCAATGTGATGACTGTGGCTTAAACACTGTCAGTTTGAATTATCCCGTTAGCAGCGAAGACAAGTACCCAACCCAGTAACACTCTGAGCAGCTGACTTGGCATTCACAATGGACAGATCACCATTTCGGCATCAGATGAGGCAGAAGAGAAAGGTAGCTTTAGGGGGAATCGCACCCTGACAAGCAGTTGGCCTGTGACTGGGGTCCTTTTTTCTTTCTCAGGTGTTGGAGGAGTCCTGGGCTGAGGCCGACCAGCTGTGCACGGAACTGGGCTGGCAGGCCGAGGTGAGGCGGCGCCTGGAGCAGGCGGATGCCGAGAGGGGGAGGTGCCACCTGGAGCTGGCTCGTCTGAACAGAGAGACCCGTGCCGAAGAGGTACAGCTTCTCCAGCTCATGAAGGAGATGGAGGGCAAGAGGGTGAGGACCACTTGCTATTGGTCATCATATTGCCTGATACTTAAAGTGACTCTTTCAGTGCTTGGGGGTGCCAGGTGGTTCGTGTTGCAGGGTTCAGTTCTAGGCTGGGGCACCCTCTTTGTGGAAATGGCATATTCTCCCTATGTCCACATGGATTTTCTCCGGGTGCTGTGATTTTCGTCCCTCTCCAAAAGGCTTACAGGTTAGATCTGTCTGGTTGCTCTAAGTGGTCCCCCCAGAATCTGATCTGCATCTGATCTCTGTTGCTAGTTACCTGACTTACTATGGCTTGAAATGCTGTACCATGGTTAAACATTGAAGATACCATAGATAGGCTTATTGCTTCTTATTGGGATCTGAAAATAGAGTACATTTCGTCTATGTCAAGGCATGTTCTCGATGCCAGGGAATAATCCAACCTGGATTTAGAAAAGGTAGGTCTTCTCTAATGGACTTGTTAAGAATTGTTTGAATAACAAGCATCAGTAATGGATACACAGAGCATGTGGTTTTAAATTGTGAAATAGCGGGGTGATGTAATTAGCGGAGTACCACAGGGATCTATACTAGAACCACTGCTGTTCTTAATTTGTATCAGCGATTTGGATGCTGGACTAGTTAGTGAACTAGTCAAGTTTGGAGATTATACCAAATTAGGAAAAATGAATAAAAGAGTTTTATAAAATTCAAGACCGGGCAAACATCTGAAAGACGAAAAGAGATCCCTTTGACTTTGTAAGCGCCTGTTTGATTGCAGGGCGGCTCATGCTAGTTCTGATAGGGCAGGTTTCAGAAAAGGGGAGAGGTACTGTATACTGTGGCAGAAGATTTAAGCTGATTACCATTTTAGAGTTTCCAGAATGGGGGGGTATGAAAAGAAAAACAGATTTCATCGAATTAAAAACAGGTACGCAAGTGGTAGAAAGGACATTGTGTTGATCCAGCGGTTGGGAGGGTGAGCAGAGGCCTGTGTTTTGTGCAGTGGGAGGACGTTGTGGAGAGGAGAGCACAGCTAGAGGAAGAGAAGCAGGCAGCTGCCTCAGCAGAGGCTCAGCGGAAGGCCTTCCTTACTGCGGAGAAGGAGGAGGCTGAACACCTTGCCGACAGCCTACGCCAGAGTCAGGAAGAGTCCCTTGGTGAGTCCAACAGCAATCATGGAGACCAGTCATGGGATATCAAGGCTTATTGGCTGCGATAGTTCAGCAACAGGCTCGGCAATGTGCATTTATAAAGGGGCTTTAACATTGTTAAGGATTCCCTTATATTACATCTTCCAGTCGTCTCTCACACTGTGTAAAAATATTCACTGATCATTCTGGATAAGCATGTTTGTCCTGCAGATGAATGTAGTGATTAATATAGAAAGAGAACGTTTCTGTGTTGCAGAGAGACTGAGGGAGCTGAGAGTCAGGTCTCCCTGTTCAGTCAGGGGATTGCTGCCTAAGCCCAACACAGACCAGTCCGAGCCCCGAAACACCTGTCTGAACATCCTGTCCTCTGATGACTCTTCCACACACTGTGAGTGAGTTTGCGTGTACTCAAACCCAATGGATGTTTTGTAAGGCCTTCCATATTGTCTTGTTATAGCTAAAGGTCCAGATTTATTGAACTGCCACAGAAAAAAAAAACAATTTTCAGCTTGACATATCTTATATGTAGGAATTTGTACCAAGAAAACTGTTGTTATTTTTTCAATGTTGTATCAAATCAAAAATCGATTTGTTTTTATTCTCACTTTCAATTTTTAGTTTGGTGATTGACTAGGTAGCAAATAAAATTCCCTAAATTTAGAATGTGAGGCTGTATGTTTTTTTTCTTTTTGCCCAAAGAGATGTGAATACCTTTTAGGTCTTGTAGTTAAAATAAATCTGTAGTGATTTTTGCCTTATTTGGAGCCACATGTCAAGGACTGTTTGTGTCAAATCATCAAATCTTTTATTTGCTTTTCACAGAGATCCTAATTAGCTATTCCTGCTGAGCTCATGCTTTTTGGACTCAAACATGTCAAATTCTGCATTTGCACGCTATTCCAGTTTGCACTGGAAAACTGAATGCGTCGAGTGTCTTGCCAAAATATTTGAAGGGTGGACTCCTGTCAAGAAAAGAACCTCAATATTTTTTTTTTCTCCAGTTTCTTTGGACAGGGGCAGAAGTGATTTAGAAAGCAGGGAGCGGGAGCTTATGTTGGACGTCCAGGAACTCCGACAGAAGATTGCAGCCCAGGCCAGAAACACAAAACCTCCAGACCGTTCATCTAGTACTTAATAATTCCTTAGAATCCAGGGAGTGTCTTTTTTAAAGAAAGAAAAGCAAATCTACAACCTGGCTCTTGCTAGTGCTATACTTCCATTTTTATGCTTGTATGTTGAAACTGTGGTTTATGGGTTTTAAGTAGAATGGAAATTCTACTTTTACTGCGTTTAATGCAGATTCGTTTAAGCTGTTGGAAAGTCTGACTTGCAAAAATAGATTTTTTTTTTGCTTTAACATTCATTTATTTAAGATTAGTTAGTTTTAGAAATTAGTTTTTCAAATGCAGCTGTCGGCGGACTTGAGTATGGCAACATCACATTCCCCCACTGCTGTGCAGAAGCTGTGAGCATTGAGACTTTCTAAAAATCATAGAGGAATGTGCTCACACGGAGGGAGAGGGGGAGTGAGAAAGACTCTGGCTCTGTAGAACAAGACTCCATGCTGCTACAAAGCAGTGAAGTCTTGACAGGTGGTATAAAGTTTCAACTTTAACCCAGGCTTCACAACTCCTCAGTACATTTAGGCCCTTTTTTAAAGATTCCTGGGGTTTCTGTTGAAAGAAGAGTGTGGAAAACACCTATCAGAGTGACGTTTCATGATCTTCAAATCCAAGATCTGCACATCTGTGAATGTTGGGATAGTTCTAGTGTCTGCTTCCCATTCATTTCAAACTAATTTAAACCTCAAATGTAAAGTTAGCATCAGTGTTTTTATTTATGCACAATTCTCTAAAACTGAAAGAGATTCTGTATGTAAACCTACATGTAAATAATTGTGTATTTTTTAATTTAAGGTTTTTATAGGTTTGTGATATTTGATAGTCACACCTGTGACAGTTATATACCTGTAGTATTAGCCATTTAAGATTTGTACTGGAGTCATGGAAATTAAATTTTCCATCAATTATATCACATGCTCATAATCACGGAAATTATCAAAATAAAAAATTATACCTTTTGGATTTTTTGTTTCACTTGTTAAATGTTTTTTTGAAGAAGTTAACCCAGCTAATAAATTGAGTTATTAAATAGTTGTCAATGAATACAGAATCTTAGATCTTTAAAGGTATTATCAGTATGCTTGTGGAGATAAATTAAGGCAATGCTGGTCCTTGAGGGCTCAAAGAGCACTCACAAATAATCTCTGAATTATTTAATTGAACAAATCATCTGCGCACTTGTTCCAGGGCTTTAGAAAATGGAGGTTTAATGGTGAACTATGCTACACAACCTGCTGGATCAGGGCTCTCCAGTACCTGGATTTTGTGGCCGAGGTTAATGCCAAGACAAACAGAAGAGTCATGAATTTGCCAAACACCAACCAGTTGACTCCCAAGCCAAACGGAATCACAAGCTGTGTGGTTGGGTGAAACGCAAAGCAAGACGGAAGTATGATTAACGCAGGAGGGTGAGGTTGTCCACAAGAATCAGAATTCAGTGTGGATTTTTTCAGAGCTTTTCAATCCTGTGTCCAGCCACTATGGTGCTCTGTGCTCATAGCCTTCTGCCCATTTCAGTAGTTTCCTTCACTTGTCTAACTCAGACTTTTTGTCCTGCTGTTACTACCTCAGGGAATAAATCAGTATCACAATACTGTATATTTGGGGAAACAAAGAGAACACTGTTTACACTCTATTTATTACGTCTGTTATTATGAGATTGCTTCTAAATGTTGTAACGTCACAAGGGAAATGCAGTGTTGAGGATATTTTACGTACTGTAGTCTTTGTATAAAAGACCCACAAAGCCTATGTTTCTGAATTTCATTTCTTGATGCAAATCATAATAAGAAATCATAGATTTGACTTGTATTTCCTTATTCATTAACAATCACAGATCCCTCTCTTCTTCCTAAGTACCTAGAAATGACTTTACCTGCTTTCTAGCTATCTAGATGCCACTCTGCGGCAGCGTATTTCTTCTGTTGCACAGTAGTTAACATCGGAAATAAACTATAATATCAGAGTGCTCTAGCTTGGGGGGGGAAACATTTATAGACTGAGGGTGGTGGTAAGTCTTTGTTAACGTGCAGTAACACAAATTAAGGTTTTACAAAACTCTTTTATCATTACAAAACCTTGCTTGAAGTACAGGAGCTAATCATGGGAAGAACATGTACTGTAGTTAAATTATTAAAATCACCCCCGGACCTATGGTTGTTGAATTAAGGTTAATCACTGAGCAGAAGTGCCAGCTCCATTCTCATCGCTGCCTCTCAGCTGCTCTCTACCCCCTTATGGGCAGGGCGTGTTGAAAGAGCACCGCTCTCACTGTATGCAGACAAACCGACGGTTAACCATTGTCCCCTGAGGCACCCCTGCCGTTTGTACTTAAACACCTGCGTCCTCTCAGCTGCCTCTGGAGCCGCAGCGGTTCAGAAGCAGACAGAGCCTCCAGCGTCCGCGATGAGCTGGGTCCACTCTGTAGGCTGGTACCTCAAACCCAAACAAGTGGGGAAGATCAAGAAGCGGGTGCAGGAGATGAAATACCAGTCGTCCCAGCTGTCACGGATCGACTTGAGCCACAACGAAAGTGTTCGGCTAGCCACCGACGCGCTGCTGGACAGCGGACTGCAGGCTTACGAGGAGACGCTCACCGCCGAGGGGGAGGTCGACTTCCTGTCCCAGGCGGAGAAGGAGTACATCTTAAGGAGCGCCAAGGAGCGCTCACCGGCCGACGAAAGCCAGGCTGAGGAAGGGGAAAACCTGGGGGAAACGGCTGCTCCTACAGAGACGTCTGTCACCTACTTCCCCACTCTCTCCGAGAGCGAAGCCCCTGCACTGGATTATGGCTGGCCGATGGCAGAGAGCAGATACTACCTGCAGGGGAAGCCCAGCGTGGAAGTTTATTTTCAGACGGACAGATCAAGGAGTATAAAAGACCTCGTTCGCGAGTATATCAGCAAAGCCACTACGGTAACTATGGCCTGCTGTTTTTATCAGGGGAGGTGGGGAGTGTTGCAATACATTTTACAGCTGGTAGGTGAGCAACTTGGCGCAACCAAGAGACCTAAATGGGCGAAATGGCCTGCTCGCGTTTGTCACCTTCCTTCTGTGCTTCTGTTGATGGCAAGCTTTGCAGAAACAAGAATTGTGCACTGAAGTTCAAAGCATGCCACTGACAGGCACCTGCTTGGTGAATTGTTAATTATAATAGCTGAACAGCATTACTATGTTTATCTTAATGGGACGCTCCTGAAAATCTATATTTGATTTAACTGTTGAGTGAAGCTCAGTGAGTATCTAAAGAGGGAACCAGGCCATCTTCAAACAGTATTAGTGAACAAGAGGGGGAGAATACAGGAATGGGCAAATTTACTTCACTATGGGCAGAAGGAGACGGTGTGCACTATCTACAGTATGTGGAACCTAATATAAGAGGATACTGCCATGAAGCTTTAAAGCTTGTGTCTAGATCAAAATATACATGTTTACAGAGGACTGTAAAAGAAACAAGACAAAAAATACATCATACAAATTCTTTGAAAAACAACATTGAAACAAACCACCGTCATCACACAAATGTCCAAGGATGTTAGTGCCCATTCTGTTTCACAAGGGGAAAAATTTCTTCCAATTTTTTTTTCCCATGTGCTTCCTCTTCAGGCAAGAGCACATCTAACCATTACATCATTTTCAAAGGATTTTTCATAGGCGTAGAGATGACAAAAGACATGGTCCAGCCAATGGAGCTATATTTCTATGAAGATCTTGAACTGATTTTTCATTCTTTAACACACTTTGATGAATGAACATAGTGGTGAAACCCCCACGATCTGACATCTATGATCTGTATGACAATTGCATTCTTTTGGGATGTGTGTCGTTATTGTGCAGGTGCTGGCAATTGTGATGGACATATTCAGTGACGTGGAGGTGTTTTGTGACATTCTGGAAGCGACCAAAAAGCGCAATGTCTCCGTCTACCTGCTACTTGACCACATGAACCTGCATGTCTTTACTGAAATGTGTGAGAAACTGCAGATCAACAGTTCCTACCTCACAGTAACACATCTTTTATATTTCTTTTTCAACCCCATGACCTCTGTTTTAGAATTAAATACATGTCTATGGTAGTACATTGTCAACAAAACGTGTGTTAAGGACTAAGATTTGTTCTTAAAGAAATTAAGAAGCATAAATAAATCAACACAAAGCCAACTCACATTTTGTCCTTTTCTCGTTCCACAGAGAATGTCTGTTCGTAGTGTGACCGGGGATGTATATTGTACCAAGTCTGGAAGAAAGTTCTCCGGTCAAATAAAGGAAAAGTTTGTCATTTTTGACTGCATTCATGCTCTTGCTGGGTCATACAGGTCTGTAGCAAGAGTCCAGTTTGGATCAGACTTTACAAATAAAGCCTAGTAACTCTTGACATTTGTCCTCACAATAACTTGGCAGTGTAACTGTTAAAACTGTCCAAAAAGAACACAAAATCAAGGCTAGCATGACTTGATAACGATGAGTTATGTTTTTATGTTTTTGATGTCCAGATCTAGAGTATGACTAGCGAGGGTCATGCGAACTCAACAGAGTTTCCCACGATTTGTACTTCCAGCTTCACGTGGCTGTCGGCGCAAGTTGACAAGAACATGGCGGTGCTGTTCAAAGGCAGCAGCGTGAAGCACTTCGACCTGGAGTTCCGGCAGCTCTACGCCGTCTCCAAGCCGGTCGGCGACTTCCCCGCGGCGGGCACACAGCTGCCCCCGGCCGAGGACGGCAGCATCGGCCATCAGTCCGACCCCCGCAGCGTGCTCTGCGGCTACAGCGTCCCTCCGCCACGTAGAGCGACGCGGAGGTATTCCGACGGGACGCCTCCGGTCACACTCGCTCACAGATTAAAAACCAACGCGCACAACCACACAGCTACGCCCAGGGAACACTGGAAGCCCCAAATACCCGACTTCAGGCTCCAGAATGCCCGACAGAGGTCCTTCTCCAGCGACTACACAGTGGGGGATACAGCACAGCCGCCACTCAACAACGTTTTTGGGATGATCCCAGGCCGACCCGACATCCAGGTTCCGAGACTGGTCTCACGTTTTCACTTCCTGAATAAACCAGACCTCATACCACTTTAGTTACGCTCCCATTATAGAGCTTTGCGAAGCACTTCAGGCACAGAAAAAAAAAGTCAGTCCTCAGTCCTTGACTGAGCTGATAATTAAAAGAACTGAACAACGAATTCATCATTTCAAACGGACAATATGTTGGCAAATAAATGGCATTTTTCCAGCACGCAGAGGAGACTTACAGTTTGTAACCTGTTACATTAATTCAATAAACCCTGAGCTCTCCAGCAATATAGGTTAAGAAAACTCGCTCGCAAAGAAAACCTGACCAAGAGACTCTCCCATCCAGAAAATAATATGAAAACATACCAAAAAATAAAACTACAACAGACACCAAATAGGTACTAAAATAAACAATGGCAATAGCATTTAGTGCATTCAGTTGTTATCACTGGTATAATGGTACCTAAATCTGACAGTATCAAGTCATTATCGTTTCTGCAGGTAAATCATGGTAGTTTAGTTATTTTCCTTTTTGGCAAAAGATTATTAAAAGTGTCACAGTTCAGATAGTGGACTGGTTCTGTTGTCTGGTGGCTTTGGCAAAAGATTATTAAAAGTGTCACAGTTCAGATAGTGGACTGGTTCTGTTGTCTGGTGGCTTAGCACTAGAATGTATCTATAGAAATATGTAATAGGTTTATTTCATGCTGAAAAAAAGAAGAAAGAGAACACAATGTTTCGGCCGTGGAGCCTTCTTCAGGTGTGAGAGAGACAGGGCAGTAGGCAAAGGTAAAGTGGTGGGAGAACAAAGGTTGGGAGGGAGGAGGAGTGAGAGGCGGGAGCAGGGGACAGAAAGAGAGGCCAATCAAGAAAATCAAAATTTTCTCCATTCATTGGAAGTTTCATTTCACACCTCCTGACTGGCCTCTCTTTCTGTCCCCTGCTCCCGCCTCTCACTCCTCCTCCCTCCCAACCTTTGTTCTCCCGCTACTTTACCTTTGCCTACTGCCCTGTCTCTCTCACACCTGAAGAAGGCTCCACGGCCGAAACGTGTTCTCTTTCTTCTTTTTTTCAGCATGGAATAAACCTATTACTTGTTCCTTTGCAGCCTACGCATGCTGAACTACTACCGTCTATAGAAATATTCTAGCTATCATATAATAATAAAGAGGTTATGAGATACACAATACCTGGTGCTTTCTATGTTCATTTGCAGAGGAAAAAATATATTTATATTGTTTTAATTTACCATTGATACAATTATTGTGCAACAGCTCCTGTCAGTAAATACAAGTCTGATTTATCACAACACAACAGTAAATACTGTAAGTCCAATGAAGGTGTCAAAATTTTGAGTTTTAGAAATCCAAAAGCTATAATGACTTATCAAGTAGTATGTTAAGCATGAGTGTTTGCAATGTGAGTGGCTTGACACAATAAGATTTTTGGAGTTTTCCAAAAATGTAAACCCAGTGTTAACGTGCATTACAGGAGACTGAGTTGCTGGTGGTTGTTTATAGATATGCCACAGTGCTTTTTAAAAGACAGTAATTACATCACAGGAAAACAACTCAGATTTTCCTCTAAGACTTTCAACACATTGCACTTTGAACCAGAGCGTATGCTTTGTGCCTTTCAAATTATTTGTGAAGCTTCTTGTGTTTGACATCCTCACACACTGCCACACCCCATGGAGTACTTAAATAACGTCTGCAGAAGTATAAATAGTCCTGGAAGCGTAACTGTTGATTGACTAATAAAATGTCACTTATTAAAAAGTATCAAACTTCATAATATTTTCAATCTGTTTACTTCCTGACTGTGGGCTGGAAGAGTTAGCCTAATGTGATATGGTGATTGTAGGACCCGACCTGACTTGGGTTTATTCCTGAACTGACCTGAGTGCTCTCTAAAATTGACAAATTGACATCTCAGGGATAACCTTAGCAGGAATTGTGCCATGTGTGGAAAGTTTCTGTACGGGTTCTAACACATACTACCATGAATGAGTCCAGAAGAGAAAGTGATTGAAGCCTTACTCAAGACTATTCTACCTGAACAAACAACCAGATTCAGAGCGCCAAGGGACACACACCTTGTGTGCACCTTCTTGGGTGTTCCCTGGAAAATCGCCTTTTTTGGCAACACATTAAATCTCACATCAAACCTTCAATGAACTGCGCTGTGACTTCTTGTTTCCTCTACACTGACCAAACCTAAACAAATGAGGTTTTACCAGTGCATCACAAACCTTGAGAATTAACACTTTAACGAAGAAGAAAAATCTACATCAGCACCCTGATCCCGTTTGTGTGTTGCTTTCTACACCTTCAGAAGTCACCCATTTGATATATATATAGTGCATGTTTCTTCTACCTCTGTGGATCGCCCTGCAATTATCAATGTTAAATTTCATGTTAAATGTCTGCCCAACACACAATGTAGTACATTTGAAATTTCCTTGCAGCTTTTAAATGTGCCACTTACCCACTTTTGTATGTTCTGCAAATTTAACTAGCTTGTTTATTGTACAAGAATATAAATCATTAACAAAGATCACACAGAGCAACGTGACTAAAATGGATCCCTATGGTACATCACTACTCATGTCTGCCGAATTAGAAGTAACATCCCCCTCAGCCTCCTATCCATTAACAATACATTGGATTGTGATGGGTTTTTAATTTGAGAATTTAACGTCTATGAGTGACCTTAACAAAAGCTTGCAAACATGCTAACAGCATGTCATGTTGTTGTCTGTTCAAAGAATTCTTGCAAGTTAAACACAACCTTTCCTTTCTCAGCCCATACTGATTGTCTATAAAAAACAGAACATCTGTTTTAGAAGTATTTTTCTAATTCACCTCTACTGTTTCTAGAATCTAACTGGTAACAGAAGACAGATAACTGAGTTTGTAACACTGCTACACAAAATCAAGTCATAAAACGCATTTATTTTCTGCTCATGTGTTTTACTGTAAATGTTCAAATGTGGCAAAGAATACAATCGTTAGATTAAAAAAATATCCATTAAAAACCCTGCAGTGTAGTTTCTCCTGTAGGACAGGGACAGCACAATGCAGAAGCAGTAAAATAAATGTAAAAAGGATGCTTACTCTGTTAGAAGAACTCTAAAACTGAACAGGTGATGTAAAAATCCCAGGTCCTCGCACAGTTTCGCCCCTGAACAGATATCTATTTTCAATATAGAGCAGTAAACAGCCCTCGCGACAGAAACATCTATTTATGTTGTTTATGTTAGTTTAACTCTGTACAACAGCATATTTCAAACAGAAGAGCTGTTGCTCTTCCAGAGTGAAAGGTCTACAGCTGGTGAGAACAGGGAGGCAAGAAAATGTAATCAAAAAAAGAAAAGGCTCCTGAAAACAATATCTTTCGTCCTTTTCAGTGTTTCTGAAAACGAGCATCTCCAGCAGTCCAGGCTTCAGATGTGATGATTCTCATTTTCAATCTGTTAAACCACTTCTCCTCAAAGTCCGAGTTAGGGCTCACTGTAGCGCAGGTTACAGATGAGATGTTCTCTGCCTCCGGGCTCTCCTCTCTCATCTTCTCCGGAACAAGGTCTTCACTCATCTCCTGCAAACACAGCAACTTCCTGCTTCACCACGCCAGTTTCACAAAAGAGCACTCAGGATGTAAAGGGTAAAAATGTTAAAAGAAATGTCTTTTTTTCTGTATTAACAGACAAAAATACATCTCTGCCTCCTGCACCTCAGTCTTTTTATGAAGGTGCATGAGTGTTTTTTTTCCCCATTTTTTAAAGCTGTATTTCATCAAATGTCACCAGAACTTACTATGTCTTAATTAAGGTCAGAGCAGAAGGCTACAGTAATTAACACATTAAAACCAACCAAAACAATGCTCATGCTCACATTGCTAATAAAATCTTCTAAAATACCAGAGTAGCTGACCTCAAGACCAGGAGAATTCTGTGTTTTTTAAACATGTGTAACTGTGAGTAGTTTTGACTGATAAAGTTCCTTTTAAACACCAAACAGGTTTAATGTGGGTAACTATGAACTATGGCTCTGTGAACAACTATTCATAGAAACTCTGGAAATGTTTGGAAGAAATGGAACGCATAACCATTAACAGAGTCAACGGGCTAACTCCCATTTCTTAAGGATAGTGTTTATGCAAATGTGGGTCCTTCTTGCTAGCGAGAATTCTTTGAATACAAGAAAAGTAACAGACAAGAAGAAGCCATTCAGCCCATTTGGCAGTTAATAGTTAATTGATGTGAGGATCTCATCCACCTCAAGAAAGAAGCCAGGGTATCACTCTCAAACCCTTTCTGTAAAAACAGTACCACAGGTTCTTGTATTTAAATGAGTGTTTCACTGTTTATTCTGAAGCAGTACACTGGGGTGACCTTGTCAGGTCATAATCTCTTTTGAAAGATTACGCCCTTGAATTGTAGACTTGAATTGTTAGGGACTTGCGTCAGTCTTGAGCAATGTCCGTATTTCTGCTACCATCAGTGTACCTCACCTCTGTGATTAAGTGGAGTATCTCATCCTGTAGTTCCAGGCTGTGGAGTGCATCCTCAATTTCCTCCAGGGCTCTCTTGTTGCTAAGAAACACGAAGGATAACTGCTGAAACTTCACCATGTGGAACAGTAGCCTGGCAGGAAAACAAAGAACTTCATTTACAACCAGCATCTTATTAATGAATTCCAGTGGTTACAAGGAGTGTCACTACTCACAATATCAAGTGTTAGCCCATAATCTAGACCTTTTATTGTGATGTTTTAAACGGGGCTTTACAGATTCAGTACGCTTAATTAGACAATGTTCTCATTGTACTACCTGTTTACGTTTTGTATCACCCATGACAGATAATGAGCTGGCCCATTTGGTGTTGTCTGTTTGAGTCTGTATAATCAGTATCCTTGGCTGGAGACTCGCATGAGAATAAAAACACCTTCACCCTCTAGGACAGAAATATCACAAGCAACTCTGAATTCTCCTCATTGCCCAACAGCAATCTGTACTATAAACGTCCCTGTAAAGGCCAGGGAAACAGGGCTGTTCAATTATATTGGTACTGTAGTTCTTAATTATAAGAATAAGCACTATACTTGCTTCCAGCCTCTTTTGCACATGTTTAGTTTGTTATAATGAAGCAAATGAACTGAGTGGCAAGTGTTTCTACATCTTAAATTAAAACCCACTAGGGATTCCTTAATATGAGACTGTGCTCTTTCTCAAACACTACCTCCGGAGTTACTGAGACCATTTTGTTTAATACACTGATACAGAAGTCAGGATATACAGTATACATGATGCTCTTCCTAAATCCCCAGGATTCTGAAACATGAAGGAGTTTTACATTTTCCTTTAAATTCAAAGACAAATTTCAACCTTACCTGTCTGTCAAGATAAATACTATTACTGATAGATGCTGTGCTGATAAATGTGATCAAAACAAAACAATCCACAAAAGAAAAACAGCGACTGAAGATTTGCAACATTTTTTCCATCGTAAACGACAATTGATCTTCTGGTAGTTACTAAAAAGTGGCTAATTTGCCATTTTTCCTTGAATTACATCAGAAGCCCCTATCAATCGGTCTGATCAGTAGATGGAAAAGTTATCATGCGCTTTACACAGACAGTTTTATACCCGACAAAAATCTGAAAAGGGCGTTCATTTCATTTCTTCGGGATTACAGGGTGACACGAGCACTCAACTGGGACTTTAAGATCGTGGTTTTGGGAGTCCTGCTTGTCTGTGGGTTTTAATTTCATCTCAGCTCTTCACAAACCAAACTAGCGGGTGACTGGCTTAACTGGACCTCAACAGCTTCTCCCAGCTCTTCAGATGCTTCCGTTTTACAGAGACAGTGAAAACCTGCAGGCCGACTAGCCCTCAGAGACGCCCCTGGCCTTAGTGTTAGAATGTTGCCAAGAATTCAACCTAGAAATTACCTTGTTCTAACAAAACATATGCAGGACCTCAGCCAGATGTCTTTCAGGTCATCGTTTCTCTGCTTAATGGCTGCCGTTTCTTGAGGCTCCCCTCTGCCCGGGTCAGGCTGTGGGCTTTCTGATTCCTCTTGGCTCCGAGTCAGCCCCTCACGCTGGGGCTCCTCAGGGGGTTTCCTCAAACACCACAGTGGACAAGGCACGGCTGAGGGGCCCCCGTTTTCCATCACCCAGGCTCTGTGATGGCACCTGCCGGTCTTTGCAGGCGCAGAGCCCGACAGGGACCGGAAAAGGTGCGTGTAGGCCTTTGCCAACTTCTTCCAGTGCCAGGGATTGTAAGGCAGGAGGGAAACGAGCTGCTGCACAGAGGAAATCTCCTTCCTAAGGTCCCCAGCGCTGTGGTAAATGAACCATTCCAGGTTCAGAACCGCTGTGAGGTGGCTCATATTTGTTGCTTCCTTCCTCTATTCATAACAGAGAAACAATCAGATACTACATGAGAAAAATATAATTTATTAGCTCTGATGCTTCCTTAACAACATGTAGAGAACAAAGCAGTTACACACACTGTACTTGTGTATCACATTCTAAGACTGGGGAGGAGCACAAGTGCCTGACGAGAGAGCTCGGAGCTAGATCAATACCGACCGGAATATAAAACAGGCATGCTGGATGACAGGAAGGACTGTACAACAGAATTCCAGGATTTTATCACAATAGGTCAAATGTCTAAGCTCATGCCTGAGCCACACACATTCTGCAGACACACACAAAATGTGCTATTATCTGGATGAAGATCAGCAGAACATTTTGAAACTTAGCATGAGACAGATGCACGTGTTTCATGTAGTGTAATCATTAATCTTGATGTTAAAACTCAAAACTGACCAAAGTGCTTGAAACAAACGCTGTGTAATGTAGTGCCGAAGGACTCAGGCTGTGCAGGTTGAACACCCAACCTTGACCTTTCAGAAGCCCTGCACAATTATGGGAATGATTACTAAAAGGGAGCACACAGGTCTCGCAGGAAGGGAAAAACAAGGGAAGTGTAACTGGCAGGCAGAGGACAGGATGTGCTGGACTGGGATCCTTGAGACATGATAACAAGTAGTAAAAACGTGAAGAGCCTTTGTGAAAATGAACAAGCCTTGGAGATGCAAGGAAAGGTCTACTCATGCAGTTGGGTCTCCTTCTGAGAATTGCTCACGTGATGGCGGACTCTCTGCGCTGCACGATCTCCCCGTCAGAAGATTATATAAAGCTGCTCTGTTGAACTCCCTCTCTCAACGTTTCCGATTCCTGGTTTGGATTCTCACAGGGCCCCCGGCCCATGTCCAGGGAACTCATTATTACCAAGGAGACAATCAAGACAGACAGCAGCAGCACGAATCCCTACCAGGGGTTGGGCGATCTCCAGGGCCATCTCCCACCTGCCCAGCTGACAGTAGCACCGGGCCAGAGCTTCCCTCACATCTCGTCTGATGGCGATGTTGCTGTCTGGCACCAGTGCAAAGCAGTTTGCGTATTCGGACAAAGCTTTCTGAAAGAGGAAATTCAGACATCACAGACGCTACTGTATGGTTCCAGTCCACACAATCTTAAAAACAAGCTTCAAAATTCAAAAGATTCAGGAGCCAAACCCAGCAATCGACAGGCGCAAGGCAGGGTACACCCTGGAGGGGACGCCAGTCCATCACAGGGCACACACACACAGACAAACACACACACTCTCCCACCTGGGCCAGCTTTCCCAGAAGCAAATTAACCTACCAGTACATCCGTGGACTGGAGAAAGAAAACCAGAGCACCTGGAGGAAACCCATGCAAACATGGGGAGAATGTAAAAACTCCATGCAGACAGCACCCCAAGACAAAAACTTAACCCAGGCCTGTGCAGCCCTGCTGTTACTAATATGATAGTATAAACTTTATAAAGGCACTGGTTATTAATACTTCATAAAAAGACTGCATCTGTCCTTGAATAAAAAGAAGCATGATTTCCTGTAGTAGGCAACAGAGAGTGCAAGAGATTTAGTGATTAGGGAGATCAGCAATGATGTTGTCTGAAACTGACCTCCAGCCAGTCTAATTCAGCCCTGGTACCTGGTAATCCCGGCGCCTGTATGCCAGGTCTCCCCTAAACTTGAAGACCTTCTGCTTCTCCAGATCATCATCATCATCTGTGGATACTTCTCCACAAAACCACTGCATCAAAAAGTAACAGAAAACAGAGGTTAATAAAATACCGTTCCTACTTAATGTCTGCTAATTTACATAAGATACTTAATATCCATCTGGGAGAAGTTTTGCAACGACCTTTCGTATTCTTGGAAATAAAGTAACTTCGTATCGTGTATATTCTCTATTGGTTTAACCACATGTTCTCACGACTCGACTTTTCATTCGATAACGTTTAAGATTGCAATCTGGTTTTTAAATAACTTTACTGCCGTACAAACAACCTCCGCTGCAAGTATAGAAGGTATATTGATCGTGTAGTGTAAGATAAGTAATGTACTTACTCCTGGCTCACAGCATTTTGCGTTGTAAGAAGAAGGTTTAGATGAAACACGATCACGGGTTTCTGCAAACACTGAATCGTCAAATGTAAAACCTAAAATTTCCATCTGGATTATTGTATCGCTGCTTTTTAAGGTCCATTGATGGCATACATTTGTGTTGCACTGTAAATCCACCGGCGGAACATCGCAACCTGTGTCTTGCGTTCCCATGGATGTTTTAATGGCTGGTGCATTTGAAAGATTTAAATCAGAGCAACAGTCTTATGTTTATTCTTTTTTTATCATCGTAAAGTTTTTTCTACTCGGGTTAAATTCGGGGCGATATTATCAGTTACGAATTATGGAAGGAACGACAGAAGCAAACGTACGAAGGGTAACAACAGAAGAATTAGGAAACGCACAAAAGAAGCGGACGAAATTCAAAATGAGTTATAATGCAATTCACAAATAGGGCAAACAACCGGTAACTCACGTTTAATGTCAACAAGTGCAGGCATCGCTTACAGTTATCAAAACATACCCTAAATACAAACTGTGAACCTTCAAAGAATCAGGTACGTCTGAAAAAAAGGCTGTGTATGTTGACATTATTTACATGTTCTAGACGCTGTGTAGCAATAAAAAAGCGGACAAAAAGCTAGTCTAAACTCTATAGTTTAAAAGCGAATAATTTAAATCAATTGGTGTTGATATTAAAATGTACTTAGCACTTATGCCTTATTACATTTGTACAAATGTCAGTCACCCGTTACAAGAAAGATACAGCTACTCCCCAAATAGTACAGATTGAAGATCTCAAAGGCCGTGTGCTCCACTGAACCCTAAAAAATACCGCCTGCTGTTTTCAAAGAATTATCTGGTGTGGCAGTGCTGGTGATTCTAACAAGTAATTTGATCGATTTGAATAATTTGTAGTCTTCGGATGAATGCAGCGAAACTAGCAAAGTGAATACCCTGTTTTCTAAAAATGTTAAATGCGTGAAACAGTAGCTGTTGAATTTAGTACTCCAGCCAGTGTTCAGAGGCAAGTGATTATGTTAATGATACATAAGAACATTCGAATAGTTTAATTAAGTCATACCCACAATACAGTGCAACTCCTTACCTTCCACAGGAACAAGGGTGTTTGTTTTAATTTGAGTATCGTTTTTACCTGTAAACCCTGAATTCACACAGTCTCTGTGGGTTGACAGAATACGTAAATGTACGAAATTAAACTAAAACACAAATATATGAATTGCAACAATTCCAAAAAAATACTGTATGAAATTATTTTCATTACATTCGTTGAACATATTCAACATTCTAATGCATAACATCCCTAAATGTCCTACACTTAAGTACAAAAAGTTAATGGTGAGAGGGAAATTACCTGTGGCACAAAGTCTGGAAACAACCGAGAACGGGCTATTTCCATGGGATACGGACTTGAAGGCATTGTCAAGCTCACATATGTTATCTTCAGAGCTCTGGCCCAACCAGGCGTGCACACAATATCACAGAACAAGATTCCAACACAATCTGTAAGGTAAAACTTTAATGGTTCATGGCAAGGTGAAAGGGTAAGACTGTTTTGCATTTTTACATTTTAAGATGCAGCATATAAACATACTAACTTATTTTCTAGAAATTTAAATGCAGGGTTCAATTTTACCTTTGAGTGGATTTCTTAATACAAAATCATGTCTATGTACTGACCTACTGAGTTGGGCAATATACATCCAGTTCCAGGATGATACAAGTAAAGATATACTTGCATGACCACTGTATAAATGTGTTCCACAAAGACATGGTTAAAAGTCTAAATTTAACATTTTCTCTTAAAAAGCAAATAACAGGATTCCTTTAAACTCCATCCATGTGACATCACTGCAGTCATGTGGTGTGTAGTGTGTGGACATATAAGCACAAACAACCCTTACAACAGGAATCAGTGCACTTTGTAAGCCATAACCTTGGTAAAAAACAATATACAGAGACAAGGCATTACAGTTTTTTAAAAGTTTATTAGGCATTTTCTTCAAACACATCAGTATAAAAGATAGATTCTGTGAACCCCAAGTAAAAGCTTCAGCTTCTTAAAATGCTTTTCCAGTCTTAAATTAATTTTATTAAGCAATGCCTACTGCTCTAATGAATAAAGCTCTCGACACAGATACTTGCATACATCATTGCTTCCACATCACACAATTACTTGCTTAGAAAACTCAAAGAGATGTACAGCAATTTCAAATATTTTGTCTTCAATATCCAGGCATGAACCTGGCTGATTTCCAAAGTTTCTCCATATCCAGAAAACAGTCAGATAAAAGCCAGGCTTTCCCAGAGTCCAATATGTGGCCCAAATGATTATTAATGCAACACTGTTCTCTCTCTCTCAATGGTAAAGTCTTCACGTTCCCCAGAGGAAACAATCCCATGATCATTAAGCAATCCCTTATCCCAGAAGGTTTTTTTTCAGGCTATCATTCTGAGAAAGTTCTGAATATGGAAAACTGTTCATATGAGCAAATTCTGTTGTATTAATATCCAAGATAAAGAAGTGAAATATTAAAACCATTGGTAACAAAGAATTTTACTGTCATACTGGAGAGAGAGATTATGACCATTAGAAAATATATTCCCAAGACAAAAACTTAAAACTCTACATTTTTGTAGAGAAAAACAGATTTCATACTCATCCTTGTTTACAATAACTCTAGTATTGACTTCCATTTTTCAAGTTCTGTGGTCAGAAATATAAAGTATTTCTAGCAACATGATGTTTTAAGGGAAAAGTCCTACATGAGTCTTGGAGAACAAACAGGTTGGGTGTATTGGTCAGTATCCTGACAATCTCTTCTTTTATAAAACAGCAGAATAGAAAAAGAGCAGCAAACACAATGCAGGTCTACTGAGCACTGAAGGTCTTCATCAACGCTACTGAAGCACTGGGATGAAGTGAAGGTTAAATGTATAAACATATATAAGAAAGTATAAAATTTTGTAAAAACTACTGGTCAAATACATCAAGATAAAAGATCTTATATGTACAAAATCAATACTGTTTTTTTTGTTATTGCAAGCTGAAGCCATTTTAAACAACAGACACTGTAATACAGAAACAAAAGACAGTCTTATAAGTACCTTAGAACCCCACACACTCCACTTCCTAGACATGGCCTTAGTACTACTATTCCTCCTGGGAGAAGGCCAGGCACCTCAGACAGTATGTTCTGCTGTATTACTTAAGGGTGAGAAAAGCTGAAGCTGTCTTTCTGAAGCTCACATGCTTCCAAATATGTCTTTGAAGGCAGACGTGCAACAGACACAGCTGTGGGTGTCAGAGGATGAGTGCTGCAGCCACTGACACTATAAAATCTAAAACTGATCATATACAGATCTCTTTCTTTACACCAGTATTGCCCTAAAACTATGCATCTTTACATAGCACAACATACAGCAGAGTACTATAAATCATAACAGGGCTCACAGTTAGAAAAAGAGTGACAGGACAATCACAGTGCATACTAAAGTGCCCTGTTGACGTGACAAAGCAGCGTGGTGCAAAAGTGTGCAAATGATTTGTTAGTGAAGGTGCCATTTCTGTACCCAGATGCTGAAGAAACAAACTTGCCAACAAAAAACAATCGAAAGGCAAAGTTCCAGCGGACTGCTATGTGAAGTAACGGAAGCCTTAACCCTAGACAGAATCACACTGCGCCCTATACTGCAAAAACCTTTTCTGTACAGAGACTACAGTACTGTATTTATACTTTCTCATCTGGAAAATGGATGTCATCAGTCGTGAAGATGAAAAATATCCTTCTACTGTGATACTGTTAAAATAACGGTTTACCTGCTATAATGACCATGGTGATTGTAATTCCTGTGTATTGCACCTTCTTTGTTTTTGTTTTATCGCACACCACAAAACATTTTGCCTATTATTCTTGAAACATTCTTGGTCTCAGGAGCTATTCTAAGAGGAACTCTGGGTAGAACAACTGTTACACTTCTTAAATGCTACAACAAATTAGCATATGAATATATTTTGCCGTTATATTTGTAGCAGCACAAATTACTTGGAATCACACCCATGTCATATAATGTGCTTACATTAGTTCAGAATACATAGCCATCATCAAAGGAAAGTTATCCTTTAATGCATGTATGTTTTCAGAAAAACAAAGTATACAGATTCTGTATTTTGATTAATTGATCATTCATGACTGACCATGATACATTTAAGTGACTGTTACTTAAACACTACACTTCTTTAATGAGAGAATTGATCGGGCAAACCTGTTGACTATGACATATTGTCACAATCAAGAGCAAAAAAATGCAGAAAGGAACCGATACTCCCTGCTTACAAGAGAACAGCACCTTTGTGCCACGGGTATGCTGGAGGTTGGACCACGTCAGAGCACTGTTGCTTGCCATCTGGCCACAGTCTGTCAGTGATGAGCCACTATCTAGGAGCTCCGAGCCAGAGTGAGGGAGCACAGGCAGGGGTGTTAACTCATGACCAACCATCCCCTTGTAGTAGCAAGCTGATGGCACAGCGATACACTCATCACGCCCTGGGACCTGACATGCTACCATTCCTCCAGGCCCATCCTGATCTGACAACACTCCAGCAGGACAACTCAACTCCTCTTCCTGCTGGTGTAACAATGGCTGAGTTGTGAGATAAGAAAGGGAGAGTAATGCTGTGGATGCCCTAGTCACCAGCCTTTAGGTCATCTGGCTGGGACGAGCTGGGATGTGGAATGAGCTGGGCTGATGTGTAGCGCCTAGGGCTCAGACAGCAGTAAACAGGTATTTGTTTGTCAAGCAACGGGTAAAGGTTGTTTCCATGTAGAAGGGTAAAGAAAAGAAACACAGTGTTTCTGCTGTGAAGCCTTCTTCAGGTGTCTCTTTTCTTTACCTCTCAGCATGGAATAAACCTATATGTGTTGCTCTTTACTCAAACCTCTATGCCTGTCTACAAGAGGATCAAGACAGAATCCACAAGACTGCATCTGCAACCTGACGCAAAACACGTCGAAAATGTACAACTGCGATTTTCCACTCTGATCAAGCCCCCTGATGACAAATGTCAGACACGATAATGAATTTACCTAAAATATCTGTTCTATAATATATCACTCCAGCTGTCATTTTTCTAACAACTGTGGATTCTTAACAGTGATCATTGAGAAGATCATGACGGTGGTCAGAATATGTGCTTTCTAGTTTTTAGAAAAGAATGAAAGAATCTTTCTAATATTCAAGGTACAAGTGGAATACATAATGCTTCTACTTCCTGAAAAGTGGGGTTAATTTAACTGAGTAATAAATACATTTATAAAGCATCAATTATTTTTAAGGATTAGTTAACCACAAAATTACTTCTAAGGATTTTGCTCTTCCTGCTTTTCAATCTGTTGTTCAGAGATCAAGCAGCTTCACACTAGGCAGGTATACAGGTATCCCCTATCCCCATGTTCTGTTACAACTGTAAAGCCTTATCAACACAATAACTACGCCAACCAAGATGGGAGCTGAACCCTGCAAATCTGAAAACTTTTCAAAATCACGTTCTTAAGAACCATGGCACCAGCTGAATTGAACCCTGGCAGATTTCATCCAGAACAAAAGCTTTTTATTTAGGTTTGCACCCGAAAAGTCGCTACAATGACTTTGACAACCAAACAGGACATGGACACTGTGTCCTGTGGTGTAGTTTGACCTGCAAACTTCACAAGTATAATTCCTCTATCAACATGATAAATACAGTATGTCTAGGGTTCCTACATTAATCAGGATGGCTGCCTGACCCCTAATTTATCCTCTTATATATGCATATCCTGTACCTCCAACAACCCTTGGGCAAGAACTGTTTGATCGATGAACTCCTTAGTTTCTGTGCAGTTCACCTACAGTACATTGTTAAAATTGGGTAGTGACTTAATTGGCAGCTATGAAAACTGCCTGCTGTTTTCTCATTTAATTCTGTCATTATAAGGGGAGAGAAACTGAATGGGGGTAACATGAGAAGGATTTTGTGTGAAAAATATGACACAAAACACAAGCCAGTCATACCTTTCTAAATCTGTAGTACACGAACCTCTTAAAAGAGTAATTTAAATATCTCCTTCCATTGTATCATTTGAACAAAGACAAGGAGGTGCAAATATGGTCTGTACACATACTGTAACAGGGAACTCTGGAGTTAAATGCATTTAAAAAAAAATCTTCTTATAAAACTTTTGGTCTCTCAATGCTATTAAACAACCAGATTTAAGGTGGCAAATCATACTTCACCACCATAGTTTTAATCTAAGACAAAAGATAAAATAGTGGTCACTGTACCCAATGAAGTATGTGCACAGAGACTTTTAATACCCAATACCATTGGGTACCAAGGGTACAGATGTAATTAAGCTCCATTTTGGACAGATTCACTAATTAAACACTCTGTAAACAAGACAGGAATGCCTGCTGCGTGTAACTTTGGCACCATAGACCCTCCAGTGGATACGAAGAGGACACTGATGTGCTACCTTCACGTCACCCTCGAACTCTGCTCTGAGCTTTGCTCAGCCTATTCCACATACAAATTATCAGCTTCCATTGCTTTCTTCAGTATAAATAAAAGGGCAATTCTGTAAAAATAAAATGAAAAACGTGATCAGAATAAGTTCATTTCAGAAAAATAATTTACTTTAAGGAGAAGTGTACTTGCGTACAATATTTTATGTCCCAGTACTATAAATAATTTTGAGTGGATTCTGTCTTTCAATAAAATAGATTTTAATCGCTAGGGGATTAAAACATGTATGTAGTCTTTTTGCAAGTACATTTGCAATTATTCTGAATGATTGTTTTCATAATAACAGTCATTTAAAAACAAATAACACTTAAAAAAAGCTAGTGAATTAACAGGAAATTAAATTATGAATTAAAAAATACTTATTTTGGAGTTAAATGTTTTATTGTTACAGCTATAGAATTGGTTTAAATGTCACAAACTGCATCTTTTTTTGTGTTACACAGCAGTCTAAATAATATCTTAGTCAATTACAAGTACAGCACGTTCAATGCATTTGGATATTAGATAATATTTGCATAAAATACTGACAAAATAATATTTTCAATAAAATGATGTTATTTTTAAGCGTAATATTTCCTAATTATTTCTATATGTATTTGTTGAATTTTTTAAGATAAGTGTGATATAAGCATTCCCCATAGCTCTCTATTCTTCATAATAATTTCTCAAATGACTTTGCTGAACAAAGTGCACTGGAGTCTCTGTGTCAATTTGCTGGAATTCAAAACACACCAGGTAAAGAACAACATTATAACTCTATACTAATGATATTAAAGATGTGTTGCCTTGAAATGTGACTGTTTCCATAAAAAGAAAACTTTGTTCTTAAGTGGGTGTTATGAGTGATTATTCTTTCTCCTAGATCTCCTAAATTTGTGGAATTTTCAGTTTCTTATGAGACGGAGCAAAGTTTTTTGTCATCCATCTTTAAAGTACCTAAAAATGAACTTAAGGATATCTTTCATACAGCAATTTCCACTGAAATTATACAAATGCTGTAGCTTAAACAGATGATGGGATGTACAAATACCTCTCAGCACCGTATCATGATTTGTTTATGTTAATTCTAATAAAATTCATAATTAAACTCAAAACTGGGTATGGTGCTGATAGAATCCTGATGTTTCTCATACATTTCTGACGCACAGGCCTTAGGTATTTGCCAGTAGGAAAACTGGCAGCTCTCCCCCTCCAGGCAATTTACCTCGACGCTCACCTGGATTGGCGCTAATCCTCGGAGCCAGAGAGAGTGCGCCGGACACTTCGAGGAGGCTCCCAGGTCTCGCTGTCGTCCGTTTCGTCGTCTTCCTCATCGCCAGCAACGTCTTCGAGGCCCCCCGCTCCCGCCTCGCTTTCACCTTGCGATTCCTCCTCTTCCGGCTCCTCGTTCTCCACCCCATCGTCAAACGGGTCCGCACCCGTGTCCTCCCGCCTGTGCACCTCGGCGAACCAGTCCCGGACCTGCTCGTAGCCCATGTTGGATTTCGCCACCAGCTCGTCGAGGTCCTGCTCATTGAGGAACTTGTGTTTTAGGTAATACTCTTTAAGAATTTCTTTTCCAGTCTTAAACTTCATCACTGGTGGTGACCTACCCCAGCTAGATGACCTCTTGCCCGCCCTGGGTCTCCCTCTAGGCCTACCTCGCCCTCTATTTCGGGCTCTACCTCTTCCTCTCTTCCTGTATCCACTTCCATTTATAGCACTGATGTTGCCACTCTGGTAATAAAAGTACCATTTCAAGTTGCCGTTTTTCCAGGCATATCTTGTGTCTCCAAACCAGTTGACAATGTAGGACCTAGGAAGGCGGCTCTCTTCTGCGAGCTTATCATACTCCTCCGACGACGGCCACTGCGTGCGCACAAAGGCACTTTTCAAGACGTGGAGCTGCTCCGGGGTCTTTTTCCCGATCTTTTCTCTGCCCGACCTGCTCCTGCCGCTGGGGGGAGTTTGTGATGCCTGCTTGACGGCGACTGATTTCACAGGGTCGCTCTCCTTGCGTTCTGGCTTGGAATCAGTCGATTCCGGCGCCTTCCTCTTTTCCGTGAACCAGGCATCAATCTCCCGACGGGTCAGCTTGGTTTCAGACCTGAGTCGGCTGAGTTCTTCGTCTGTAGGTGTGGAGTTCTTCTGATAACTCTCCTCCAGTATCAGCAGCTGTTCGGGGGTCTTCTCTTTGAACTTCTGGAGTGTGAAGTCTGGGAATGGGTTCCAGGTCTGTTTCCGTGACTCTTTGACAGGGCCAGACGTAGGAGACTCTGTAGTTTCATCGCTCGAATCAATCACTATGGTGGCATTGTTGTTGACATTGTTGTTTTCATTGAAAACAATAACATGATTGTTCTTTGAGTTGCGCTGGTTGTAGCGCGTATCACTAAACCACTTCTTAATCTCGCCCTTTGTGAGATTGGTCAGTTTCATCAGCCTGGCTATCTCTGCATCACTGGCAAAGTGATTCTTCAGGTAGCTGGCCTTCAGCTCTGCAAGCTGCTCTTTAGACTTTTTAGGTCGCATTCCAAAATTATCAGCGCTCAGAGCAGAGTTCTCCTGAGGGGTCAGAGGAGGAGGCTGAACGGTGGTGGCCCTCTTTGTTTCCACTACAGTCGGGGTTGTCTGCATAGCAGGTTTTGGCAGATGTGTTTGATTGGGCACACCAGCTACTGCCAATGTGATGGGAGTGGTTACCGGTAAGGGATTGGTGCCACCAACTTGTGTCAGCACAAGGCCCGGCTGGCCAACTATCTGGCAGGTCTGTAGAATGGGCTGAAGGCCGTTGGCTGCCGCCGAGAGATGGGCAGGAATGACTGTGATTGTCTGTGGCACGGTGTGCACGGTGCCATTGAACTGCTTTCTCCTGGCTTCTTCCACCTCCTCTGGCGTCCAGCTCACACCGTGTTTGAGGCGCTGGGCAGAGAACCAGATCTTAATCTGCTCCTCTGTGTACTTTGTCTGCGCTGACAGCCCCATGATCTCCGACACCGAGGGGTAAGGGAACTTGTTGTAGGTGCTCACAAGAAGGGCATTGTTATCCATGGCCCCGTTGTAAGTTGGGATGCTGCTGACGGGTATCAGGAGCTGGGTTTGGGAATTCTGTTGGGCCTGGAGGGCCGACAGGACTTGAGCGAGCCCAGCTGGGAGAACGGTGGCAGAATTGATTATTGTCTTCTTTGGATCCTGCTGCGCGGAACTGTTGCTGACGACCACACTTGGCTTCACCGGTTCCATCGGGACCGGAGCCACCACCTCCACGGGAGCCGGCGTCCCGACAGGGGCCGTCTCCTTGGGCTCCTGTTCACCTTCGCTCTCATCCTTCACTTCATTCTCCTCAGCGGCCTTGTGGGGCACGGCGATCCTTTTGGGCTCCGCCTTGTTTTTCATCTTCATGATGGGGGTTTTGCTGAGCGGGATCCCAGTGGCCGTGGTGTCCTCGCCCCCTTCCTCGTTCTCCTGCTGCACAAAGCTGCCGTCGAAGGTCAGGTCGTTGACGGTCTGCTCAAAGATGGTCTGGTTATTGCGCTTCACCATGGTGCGGGTAAAATTGTCCTCCCCGGGATGGTAGCGCAAGTTGTGTTCTGAAAGTGCATCATACCTCTTGGTTAGAAAGTTGCACTCCACACAAACGTAGGAGGAGTTCAACACTACGTTGGGGTGCTCCGAATCCACGTGGAAGGTGAACATGTTCAGTTCCGTGGTCTGGAAGCTGCAGTATTTGCACTCGTATCCACCTTCCACCTTTTTGGAATCCATGGTTTCGATGTAGCGGTCCACATCCTGCATGTCTTCCTCGCTCGAGGCGTTTTCAGCTGGGACCGCAGCGCTTTCTGAGGGTGTTTCCACTGGGGCGTCGGTGCCTTCTTCCAGCTCCGTTATCATCTCCATATCCGGGTCCTGCTCCCCTGCTTCTGTGGGAAGGACCATGCAAGGGGTAGTGGACTTCCGTTTGCTCGCCATTGTGTGACCGTCCCCCCTCCCGAAAAGGCAGCGTTCATCAAATGACGAGTTGTCAGCCCGGCCCTCTTTTGTTTCTCAGGGGCAGCTCATTGTAGATTTACAAACCTCATTTCATTGCCAAGATTTTTGCGTCCCTGAAACAGGAAAAGAAAAAAAAACGCATATAATTCTGAAACTTCAAAAGCATCTTTCAAAGTCAGATGGACTTTTGAATTTGCATTGTTTTGGATTTAATATGACTGTGTTTGTGAAACTGAATGCAACAGGCAGGCTGATACGAAAACCTTATTGTAGAAGTGGGTGAATAAACAGGTTAACATTTAGATTTATCATAATATAAATAATCAATTATCCTAATACTTATATAGTGGTTTTTTGGACCCTCAAATCAAAGCACTTTAAGGCTAATGGGGGCTCCCCTCCACCAGTGTGCAGCACCACCTGGATGATGCGATGACAGCCATAGTGCACCAGAATACTCACCACACACCAGCTCTCAGTGGGGAGGAGAGCAGAGTGATGAAGCCAATTCATAGATGGGGATTATTAGGAGGCCATGATTGGAAAAGGCCAATGGGAAATTTGGCCAGGACGCAGCGGTATCACCCCTACACTTTTTGAAAAACACCCTGGGATTTTTAATGACCACGGAGAGTCAAGACCTTGGATTAAAGTCTCATCCAAAGGATGGCGCCTTTTTAAGAGTATAGTGTCTCCGTCACTATACTGGGGCATTAGGACCCACACAGACTGCAGGGTGAGCGCCCCCTGCTGGCCCCACTAACACCTCTTCCAGCAGCAACCTTAGTTTTTACCAGGAGGTCTCCCATCCAGGTACTGACCAGGGAGATAACAGTTGCGAGTTGCTGTGTGATATAGCTTGGTGGAGCAGTGGCACTGTGGCTAAGGATCTGCGCCTGTGGCTGGAAGGTTGCCGGTTCAAATCCCATGGCTGGCAGAGGAATCCTACTCTGATGGGCCCCTGAGCAAGGCCCTTAAACCCAGCTGCTCCAGGGGCCCCGTACAATGGCTGACCCTGTGCTCTTACCCCAAGCTTCTCTCTGTCTGTGTGTCTGTGTCTCATGGAGAGCAAGCTGGGTTATGTGAAAAGACGAATTCCTGATGCAAGAAATTGTATGTGGCCAATAAAGTGATCTCTCTCTCTTATATCTTGGTAGCCCTTTGTTAATGCTACTTGTATAAAATCAGTTATTGTTGTTATTATTGACATGATGTGAACTACTTAGAATCTGCTGGAAGGAATGTTATATATGTTTTTCTTAAATCTTAGTAAAAACAGATTTGCTGAGGAAACGGAAAAACACTTCTGTTGACTCTGAAGTGCCTGATTAGTGTAATTAAATTACTGTAATGCTGTTAGCAGAGAGGTTGCAATCATGAGATTTTCAACAAGCGGTCATCTAGGAGATACGACAAAAGCTATTTTTTGCAAATGTCCTCTCAGAATGTTTTTTTTTTTTCCTCAGTTGCCCTTTCAAATAAGCTCCAAGAATATCCTGGGTCACATACACTACGTAGCACCAGACTGCCTTCACAAACACCACTTCCTGAGTACCGAGAAACACTTCACATTTATTTTGGATTCTCGGCCAAGCTAAGTCGACAGGTTGTGAGATGCGTTCCGGATCAAGCAATTACAACAGCACAACCCGTCGAGTTTACGTCGGGCTATATAATAATACACCTTACTGTTTCGTAAGAGACTACAAGGACGGAAAATCACAGGGCACTCATCGTAATAAACAAAGGTATTCGCGAAAGACAAAACCGCGCAGGCGCACATCACTGGCATGCACGATTACTCTTACTGTAACACATAAAAAAGAATAAGAAAAGGAAATGGGGTTAGCTCAGGCTGCCTCGCACATACTTTCAATATAAATGAACGTCTTAAGCGATATTAACGGAATAAGTCTGTGTAATACTAAGCTTTCGAAACTATTACGCTAGAAGCTATACTTCCAGCGTTTTAAGCAAAAAATGCACAAAAGCATTCCTGTTTTCTTGCATCTCCATTACATTTTTATACTAAATAACCAGGTACTCATACGTTTAAGTATGTACACCCTAGGTGTGTGTTTTTAGGGAAATGTACGAAGCCAGCCCAATTATTCGCTTGATCTTTATATATAGGACGTAAGTTCAAAGTTCGGAATACTTCATGCCAGAAGGGATGTCGCCTTTACATTACAAAAAAACAAAAACATAGATATAAAGCAAGGCAATACGTCCACCGTCAAAACTGTTCACAAGCGATACAAGAGGCGACGGTAGGTTGACTAAGCCAATGCAGAATAAACTAATATGGTCTATGTAAATCTCCACATGTAAGCAATACGCTTAGATGCAACGGCGATTCATATTTATCTAGAAACAGAATTAGGCTCTTTAACTTCTTATGATGCATATAAAGACCACTGAAGAAAGCCCGTGATCCATGGCCACTGTCTGTTCTCTTCCGTCTCCAGCACACTGTACTGGCTGGTGAAAGGGCTCCCCTCCTTCCTCACCCACCCCCAAAAAACCATCCTGTACCAACTGGGACGTGTGTGTGACAACAGTGATTCACCGCCCGCAAGGCCGACGTATGCAACACCCGTACATGACTTGGATACCTACCAGTATGAAGAGTTACGTGCGCTGGTGACACTAGTGCAGTTGTTGCTGGGCTGGAACAGCGGAGGCAGGCGAGATGAAGTGCTGCCGCTTGATGCGGCCAGAGATGCACAACAAAAATACAGTTACAGGGCGCTTTTCCAGCTGCGCAGCGCTCTCCGGCGCTTTCAGCGGCGCTTCGCGTCCTTTCAGGCGTCGATCAGAACAGACACGTCAGTGAAACCACGGCGATCGGCATGATATTTGATAAAGACCGTTACAGTATGTGTCAATTCAGAAGGGTATTTTTTTTAATCACCCGGGCGTCACCATCGATGAAATACGTTCCGCGTCATCGCAAAGCGACTTACCCCGACTTCGTTTTTTTTGCCTACCCGATTTCCTGCAGCGAGTCGCGCTGCTCAGGCGGGGGGGCGGGGACGTGGGCGTGGCCTCTCCCAGTGTCCTTTGTGAGTGGACGACACCTTAGAGACTGCCCGGCCCCCACAGGCTGGAAACGCCCTTCACCTTGTGGCAGCCCGGCAGGTAAACGGGTGTATGAAGACCAGCGGGAGATTGAAGTTTATCAACGACACAACACATGCAAGTCCAGGCAGCAATTGTAATGTTTATTTTGCCGAGTCTCTTGAAAGCGGGGTTTCTTTACTTTGCTGTGCAAGAATTATGCTCCTGCGACCACATGCTGCAGCTATCTCGCTTAGGACATAATCCTCTTAAGAGGTGCAAATTTCCAGCGAACGTGTCCAGCAAAACACCCATCACCCCATTCCTAAACAGGAGTTACTCATTGACCCGAGTCACACAACGCCTTGAGTTTGATCTTTTATCTAGATCTATGCACACAGACGTCTGACTAGAATGATGTTGCAATTGATTTTTTTTTTTATTGTTGATAATCCCTTGAACTTTTTTTGCTTCACTTAGTATAACGTTATTGTTGTCCTATTGATGTATTCTCTATCGGCGCAGCCCGTGATAGACATATCTCTCGGGTCACCCAGGGCGGGGCTTCACGATTTCGGGTAGGAAAGAGGGTGACGCAGCCCGGCTGCCCTACACCCTCACCTCACAGCTACAGCGTCGCACACGTAGGAGCGCCTGTAGATACCGGCAGAAAGGGCGGCATCTGCCGTCTGTTAGAAGCTTTACGTTTCATTACGCTAAAAGGCGGATAGCCAGTCTTCCAGATAATGGCAAATAATAGTTCTAATATCATAAATTCTACACTGTCTGGTAAAGCTTACATACCACACTGAGAAAAAAAATACTATGCAAAGATCCTGCTTAGATACCCACTGTACCCTATGCAGGACTCTAAGGTGTACATTACAGATGACCTAAAATGACAAAACATATCAAGTGTAACGTGTAAAGGCAACTTGGAAGACAAAAAAAAAACCCTTGTCATATGAAAGTCATCCCAGGTGGATAGAAACGAAGACCTAAATGTACAATATCACACCACCCCGTGAAGAGGGACAGAAAGGGCATGGAATGATTTCATAGCGACACCGTGAGCCCCCTGCAGGGCTGTGACCGCAAGGACAGCCTAGTCAGGAGCGACGTCTTAAAGCAAAACCGAAGGACAAAATAACCATGACGTAGAATGATGGGTTCTATAGTTTGTGGTGTAGTTAAAAATCGCTTCAAGTGTGATTAAGGCTCTGCAGACACTGGGAACCCAGTGGCTGTAGGATACATTGTTTTATTAATGGCAGTCCTTCGGTTACGGAATTGCCCCTGAGCAAGGCATGACTTTCCCCGACAAGTGATGAGCCCTGGAGTCTGCAGTGAAGGTCTGAAGCCCTGCAGCTACAATTTATTCATTACTCAGCAGGACTGCTTCGTGAAGATTAGGTGGGGTTACATTCATTCATATACAAAGCACCTCTGCAATCTGGCTGGTGATGTTTCTACCCAGCACCCTAAAAAAAAAATCCTCTACAGCTTTGTACACTGCCAACTGACATTCTGTTTTTTGCGCTGTTGCAAACTACTAAATGTCACAAAAATATCAGAGTACAATAACCACGAACAAAGGTCTGAGAAAACTCAAGTACAGCCTAGTATATTACAGTATTACAGTAACCAGGCCACTAAAAATGTAGGCCTTGCTATATAGACCAAGGCCTATAAACCAACTATACTATAGGGCAGTATTTATTTCCACAATGACAACAAAGAAGCTGATACTCTGTTGCATCACTTGCTTCAGCTTAAAAAAGGGGTCTTTAGTGGAACACAAAGAGGTTTAGTACTGCTCAGTGGGCATCAGACGTTACAAGAAAAACAACTACAAGAACTGGATTGCTAAAGCATTTAATGAACTTTAAGCCAAATAACACTTCACCCAGAAATCTCTAAATGTACTTAAAATTCTCGTAAAATAAACACTTTATAGTTTATAGTCTTAAGCTCTGTACAATATTTAATAAGAAACTGCAATGCCTTTTTGACACCTGCTTCATTTATTTTGGAAAAAAAGTCAGAAAAGTTAAGTGAAGTTCTCAATTTCTTTTTTCATTTCCTGTAAAAAAAGAAGAAAAGGACAATTTATTCTTCATTCAGAAACCAAGAACAAATCTGCCATATTTCCCACATCACACTTAAGCTTTGACTCACAATGTAAGTAATTAAAGTTTACGTCAAACAAATCTTCCTTTTGCACATATTACTTGATAATGTATATAAGCAACGGCATATTTGGCTTGTGATGTTTCTAAGAAGACACAGACAAGGGAGAAATTTCAAGTTGTTTTTGGAACTGCTGAATTCAGAAGCAATGTACATTTCTTGAATTTACTCAACATCTTTCAACAGGATCCATTATCTTGTCCATTAGATAGTCTTGGTCTTTTCTACCATTAAACAAGACGCTTAAAACCTTCTGGTATAAAACCCTTATTGTACCTGTATTAGTGCAGTCTTGTCGTAATTTCTCCGATGTCTATAAATGCACTGACAGAGCAGAGCATAAAGCTTCTCCAGCTGATACACCTCAAATCCCTCAGTCTTGGCAATCACCCGGTCCAGTAAATTCTATTAAAAAAAAAGAGCCTCGTTATTTCACTCACATCCGTTTCAGAGAAACAAATCAAGTTAGTGAAAGCAATCATCTCCTCTTGACCTTTCCTTCAGTGCAGCCTTTTGTTGTTCAAGACAAAGAATTTTAGAGTTGTGCAGAAAGGGCTGTTCTGTTTTTATAATTGATATATTTTAGATTCAAGACCTGTATTGTTCTGTAAGCAAGTTATTTTGGAATCTGTTTAATAAGGGGTTAAGTTAGTGCTCATTTCATTATCATTATATTTAGAACATATTGTTACAGCTTAAGGTGACTTAGAAGTGTCTCTTAGATTTCAGAAACAGTTTGGGACACTGGGAAGAATAAATTAAATACTTCTAACTTCAAAGGAAAGAGGATGTTTGCTGAGGTCTGGGGATCCGTTGAGCAGAAACAATGCTAAAGTTTTGCTAAAGGCGAGAGCACCTACTTCCTGATCATCCAAATCAAACCTTACTGGAGCTAAGTATTTGAACCTTGTTAGAGAGAACGTGCTTTTCTGTGTTTTTATGGAACTTGGGTTTCCTGGGTAAAAGATACCTCAGTTAGAAACGTCTTTCATTAGGGTGCATTTTTATGGATAGGGATATAGGCTCCCATTTATTTTGTGGCATCCAGGGTGCAGGGAGATTTAACTGCAGGTTACTTTGTATTTAGTTAGAAGGCAGCTCATCACTTGTGTGTAGGCATATTAAGAGTTTAGTGCTTAGTGGCAATCTGGGGATTTATGGGTGAGCAGAAAGTTAGGCCTCTGAAATGCCTCGTTTGTAAATACTGTATATAATGTAACTTTGTGTGTTGTATGTTTTGTGTCTTGTATAGTTTATTGTAATAAATATTTATTTTAACCAAGTGTGCCTGGATTATTACTCCTCTCAGCAAAGCTGTGCCAGAGAATAAATAATTCACGTGCCTCTAGTTATACCAGCCACTCGGGTAATTGCTAGAAATCTCTTACAAGTCGAGAGTTATGAATAATTATTTCAATTGTTGACTAAACCACTCAGTCAAATACTGATTTTCACCATTTTCATAACCCCCCCCCTGTAACAATATTTTAAGTTCTATGCAAGCTTAATTATATTATTATAACATTTGAATGATCTTTTTCACCTAAAGTTGAAGACACCAAACCAAAATAAAATATTTCACACTCTTCTTAATTCTGAAGTACTAATGCCTGTTATTGGAAGTGTTCTGAAAATGGCAAAATACTGGTTTTACAGCTGGCTGTTTTTAAACAACACCAAATTGTTGTCATTGTAAACCTCCCCTCCCCCCCCCCAGATTGAAACACTGTAATCCTTTGTGCACAATGTAAAATTGTGATTTTACATTGCACAGAAAAATGTTAACTAGGGACATAGAGAGAAAATTTTGCTGATCAGCCGAGAGGATACCTTCAGCTTCTGGTGGTCAACGACTAGCTGTGGGGTCACTTCTGAGAGGATCTTCATGGCTTTCTCCACGTTGATCAGCTGCTGCTGCTCGACCTGAGAGCGCCGGCCTCGCGTCATGCGCAGGGCATTCTTCTCTGCAGGCACAGGCGGACAGGATGACAGTCACTACACGTTATTAGCAGACAGTACGCACATAGAAACGACTCCTTGGTTGTTTCCTTGAAGACCTGCACTGTCTTCTGATTAAAAAAAAACATTAACAGGTTTTTTCAAAATCACTTAATACACCTCTATCCCTGCATATTCTCCAAGACATATTTTTAAAAATGGTTATGAAATCTCTTAAACTCTAGACTGTTTAAATGTCCTTTTCCCCCTATGTAGACAGAGGTGAAAAAGTGTTTACATGAATGACAACTATGAAGCTTGTGCCACACCACCATTCTTTTAAGCCTCACTACTGTATACCTTTCTCCATCTCCACCCCTAACATGCAATGGTGCTACAGCTTTCACTTGGGGCAGAAACCAAACATACTGCTGTGGTTTAATGCAACACATAGTCCAGTCAATCAAGACAAACACACAGCAAAGAGGCAGATGCACATGTAGATTATTAGGAACAAGTACAGGTTAATTCCTCTCCAAAAAAATAAGAAGCAAAAAGGACTGTTTCAAATGCAGAGTGTTCTTCAAGTGTGTACTACCCAATAAGGATCTGCAACCAAAATGTTATTTTGCATTTTATTTTCCAACATGGACTTAACCTCTGTGTTTCTCTGCAGCACGCATGATGACACAACTACACAACCGAACGTTATTCTATAGCTGTCAATATGAAGTGAAGTATGTTCCAAAACCTAAAAAAGAAAAGCACTGATTAAACTGAAACCAAGTTCAGGGCAGTGAATGTAGCCATCAGCTCTACACACCTCTGGGTTCTTCCTGATTGTCTGTTCCATCAGACTCTGCAGGGGTGGAAGGCAGTTTCTCTGCCTGGTGTTCAAGTTGTGCAGGTTCATCAGTTATTGGGTGCTTCGCTTTTATGTTCTCAGGAGCTTCAAGATCACCCTCCCCTGCGGAGTCCTCACAGCGCTCCAGCTCAATCGGCTCCAGACTGGACCCGTTGCTAAGTAACGCGTCAAGTTCATCACAATCTTCGCTCTCGGCTACTTCTTCCGCCTTCTCCTCTCCTTCTAACCCGAGTCCATTCACGCCCTCTTTGGAGGTTGCAGATGAAGTCTTTTTCTTGGCAATAAAGCCATTACTCCACCGGCATCTCCTGCGCTTTCTTTTCAGAACTGCTACTGGCACATCGATTTTTGATGTGTGGGAAATAATTTCATAGACTTGTAAGGTTGCACATATGGTGTCTGATGCATCACTAATATTACCAATACCTACAGTAACCTCCTGAAAGCTAATGTCATTTCTAAATTGAGATATTGTGTGATAATCTCAGATACAACTTTTAATACTGAAAATAGTCCTCATAGAGAACTCTCTGCATGCTGTCCGGGTATATGGCTTGTTCTTATCCTGTTCTCACTAGTAGTGAACTCCCGGCAGCTTGTTCTTATCCTGTTCTCACTCATAGTGAACTCCCTGCGTGCTGTCCTGGGATATGGCTTGTTCTTATCCTGTTCTCACTCGTAGTGAACTCCCTGCATGCTGTCCTGGGATATGGCTTATTCTTATCCTGTTCTCACTCGTAGTGAACTCCCTGCGTGCTGTCCTGGTATATGGCTTGTTCTTATCCTGTTCTCACTTGTAGTGAACTCCCTGCGTGCTGTCCTGGTATATGGC